AATAGCAGTAATATCATGGATACACTAGATGTACAACAACATCTGAAAAAGATTCACCCCAGTCTAGAAAATAATGTTTATGCAGCTAATAGACTGCCTATGTATACCCACGTACCAACGTATATAATATGTAATTTGGATACAGATGATAAACCAGGGTCACATTGGGTAGCTTTATATATCGATACGAATGACGTCGGTCAATATTTTGATTCATATGGACGATCACCTGTACGATATCATCTAGAGTTTTTAAAAAGGAATTGTAAAAGATGGAACTGGAATGTTGATAGGATTCAGAATGAGTGGACTTCAGTTTGTGGCGAATATTGCTTAATGTATTTGCTATATAAGTTTCAAGGATGTTCAATACATAGTTTTACGAGTATATTTACAAGGAACACATTGTACAACGATATTTTAGTGGATGAGATGTTTCGCTCCTATTTTATAGATAATAAGTAATAAGATTTTGTATTTTATAAATAAAAATTGTAACAAAATTATGTAATGTGTTTTATTGATGATTCAGATTAGCGTTGTATAATTGGGAACAAAGAAGTATAATACAATAGCACTGATATAGTCGACGCACACGCTGCAATGAAGGTGATTAATGAACAATAGAACAATAGAAATAGGAACAATGGGACGCTAATGACGGTGGAGGCCCTTACCGGATATCAATTAGATATTAGCTAATTGATCTACACATCTCCGGAACCGTGCATTCTACACAAAAATGGACCGCGGATTCGTGATCAGAGCATGCCAAAACCTTTTTTTTTTTTTTTTTAGGATCGTGTGTCGACGAACGTCGTTGAACCACGTCTGACTCAGGTGGTCTAGAAGTGGTACAACTACACTACTGGAGTGATGTGGAGGCGCTGTCGTCTTGCAGTATTGAATATCCGCGTGATATGAATCCGCACAACCTACAACCTTCAGAAACTCCAACTTAAGCTTTCGTCATCTTCCTTAAGAATCCCTTCCATCTCCAATAAATAAATATTACCTGCAGTTTTCAGTTCCTGCAAGCCATTCTGATCTTTACAATGTTCATCATAGCATTGGAATATCGCTTCCCGTTCCTTCCACTCTCTGCACTACATTGCTTGTAACGCCTCTGAGCCTTTGCTGCGCTCCTCTTTTTCACTGCAGCAACACCACAAGGCAACTCACTCTTAGCACTTATATTTTCTTAAAGAACTGGACTGCACCATCGACATCTAGCCTGAGCAGGGGAGTAACGTGGCTGCGCTGTCGTCTCGCCACAAGCGTGAATAAACCGAATCCTAAATCACGCTATCGAAGTTAAACTGCCTACACGGTACAGGAGAAATCCTAATATGAGGGTAACGTTTAAAAAAAAACAGCTCCGTATCTACTACCACACGGAGCGTTGGCGGCTCTCCGACTGTACATCTTGCTCGGCTGCAAGATGCTCTTTTTTACTTCTACGGTAAAACTTAAATTCTTTTGGCACGTAAAGACCAAAACGAAATCGTGATTTTAAATGAACGATTTTAATGAAACGTTAATAAAATTAGTAAACTAGATAGTTATTCATGGATGAGAGGTAATTTTGCACCAAGAATTAATAAAGTATATAAACAAGTGATTTCCTTTACATTGGTTTCAAAACTTTATCGTAATAAAACCTTAATCTTACTCTATCCTGCCTCCCGTAAAGGCTACTGAATTGTGAATTTATGAATCATTATCAGCATACTTCGCTGACTCTTGCATTTAGACCATTACGTTAGAAGTGTTGAACGTAATTTAATTAATGGAATGGAAAAATTAAGTATCTTATGCTTAATTTTTATTCAAGTTGATTTATCAGATGTAGTGAACCTTTTCAGTATGAATTTTATTTTTAATAACGTATTATTATACAATTTAATAGAAAACATATTTAATCTTATTATTCGATTGAATAAAACTATTAAATAAACTATTTTACGGATTTTGTCGCGTTAACATAATGATTTCTTATATTTGTAATTAATTTTAATTCTCGACGTTTTCGACGGGGTTGAGGTGATTGAAGTCTCGATGTCAAAGTTAGCATCGTAAATTTCAGCTTTTAATTATTAGTTTTGGTCCGATCTACTCAGAATGAACTTACTGTCTTGAAGTCTTGCAGTTAAATGCTTGGGTTTAGTTTTAGAGTTAAAGTTACAGCCTATATACGTTCCACTGCTGGGCACAGGCCTCCTCTCACTTCTGAGAGGGCTTAGTTTTTATTTTGTTAATTACAGGATCCCAAGCAGGTGGTAATAACCAGCCTCCTTCTCTATTGAAATTAGGCTGTTTTTGAATTTCAATAGCCACACGTATCATCTTTGGTAGAAATCGATGTTCTTTCACGAGGACTTGTGGTCTTTCAAATCTGACATATTGGCAGGGGCCGTCTAGAATATGACAACATACTCCCGGACTTATGATTCGACTGCGTTTTGAGTGTTTAACATATTTTTTTTGCCTCTGAAGAAAACAAGGTAAGCATAAACAAATGATTTTGGATTCAATACAATTTTATCAGACAGACCTAGGCTAACTGCAATGCATTCTCCGATGAGGCATTATGAGCCCATACAATATATTGGCAGAGGCCTGGAGGTAGACTTAACTCTAATAGACTGACGATCTTCAATGCAGCTGGGCAACAACTATCACCAGACCTAACGTGAACATGATCTGAGGCACTCGTAGTACGTACCTCCTTGATTGAACAGCAGGTAAGCATGGGATGAAAATAGTACTAGCGACCATCGCTTAATATTTTTTAAGGCTAAACAGCGCACCCGCTTCCTAAACGCCATTTGTAGAGTCGAGAAAGTTTTAGAACCGCTGTGTAAGCTGGAAGCGCTTCAGGGTAAACATAGAAATGCGAGTGACTTACCTGGATTTTAGGAAATCGGTATCAAAAGTATTTGAGAACTTTAGGAATGCGACAGTAAGAATGTCCAAAGAATATTAGGAGAGTAAAATGATAAAAGATATGATGATGGTTTCACAAACTGAATAGACATTAAGGAAGGAGAACAGCGAGATGAGGTGTGGATGACAAAAGTCCTAGTCAAATCACGTTAAGTTGGCTGAGGAATATACAGGCGGAGTTGAGGAGGCAATGCAGGGACTATTGACAGTGCTGTGTCTAGATGACGATTCATCAGAAGATACGGGGTACAATCATTTTTTTATAGGAGAGGGGGCAAAGGAGCAATTGCAGATGCGTTTCCGGCCTTTTAAAAGGGACTAGGCTCTTTTCTTGAAGTTCTCTAAGTCGTATCGGTCCGGAAAAATCGTTGGTAGTAATCTATTCCACGAGGAAGTTGTGCGAGGAAGAAAAGTTCTTCTAAATCGCTCAGTGGTGGACCGCCAATCATCCAGATGGTATGGATGGTACGAGTTTTGTCGCGATGTGCGTTTGTGAAATTGAGTGGCTGGAATTAGTCCGAACAATTCCTCAGAGCACTCCCCGTGGTAGATGCGCAAAGAGATGCAACGCAGTACCAGTGAGTCAAGCCGATCGGACAGAACTCGTACGTGGACGATTCGAACCGCTCTGCGCCGGATGCGGCCAAGTGGAAGGAGCTGGCACTGGGGAGCCCCTGCCCAGAGATGGGAACAGTATTCCACGTGGGGCCGAACCTGCGCCTTGTAAAGTTGCAATCGATGGAAACGTCATAGTTAAGAGACTTCGTGATTTCGTACCGGGCCTAGACGATGTTATTGCAACAATTTTAAAGAATAAGTAAATCGTGGTAGAATCCAGAATGGTCTTCGCGAAATGCGTAGAACAGGGCGTATTTTCCAATGTGTAGAAAGAGAATGGGTGATCAACTGTTTCAACGCTGATGGAGATCCTGGAGTTTACTAGGATCTTCCCACAGGTATCAAGGTTTGAGCTTTTCCTATGAAATTGCTAAATCCTTTCTCGAAGTTGGCTCTTGTCTTGGCTTTTGTGTAAGCGCAGTGTCATATGCGCGCGGGTGAAATATTAAGCTAAAAATGCTTAATGAATCACGCAACAGTTTGAATTTCCCCCCAACAAATACATTTTTTTCCCGGAGATGTCAGCTTGATTCCGATTTATCTAGTTGAGTTCGACTATGAAACCACGCAGTTGCATGCAGGATATGCATGACATTCTGGGTGCTGTTCTCTGTATAGAAACCCGTAAGAAAGGAATGCTTGATATGATAGAGAGAAAGAAGGCAGGACCCGTCTATTATGGTAATCTCGTTGCGTATTATGGTAATGCGAGGAGATCTGTTTGTGACTTTACCTTTGGCATATGATCTGATACAACTGGATACTTCGCCTACACGAATTCCAGATGTGGAGGATCATACACTTTTCCTGTTGAAACTTCTACTGACATCTCATCCGAATGGATATCAGGTCTCCGATGACGCCTTGGAGTTACACTCTTGGCTCTTCAGACCATCGACCTTCGACTCACACTCTCATCGCGGTTGCGTTTTGCAGCCTGCCGCTGTGTATAGGTCAGCGAATCGAGACGGGATGTAGGCTTTTTTTTGCATCATAACCATATGAAGCTTCAGGGCATGGAACAATTTTTCCATCATATGAGGTACTCATCGGAGGCATATCTGAGCCTTGACTTGATCGCTCCTTTGAAATTGCATTACGCAGTAAGCAGGAATGTTTTCAAGCCTGGGCTGACACATCGGCGGCCCAGAACATAAACAACGGCATCAAGAAAAGAGCCCTACTCTTTAAAAGGTCAGCAACGCATCTGCAATTCCCCTGGTGTTGCAGTTGTTCATGGGCAGCGGTAGTCACTTACCACCAGGTGAGCCGCATGTTAGTATTCCCCCTCCTTTATATTTATTAAAAAAATGATAATCTAACCTACGTTGACAACCTCTGCAATGAATGTTTGCTATATAAAACAAACGCATCAGAAAAGGTTTTCATTCAAGACAAAGCCGTCGTAAGAAATAATCGGAACAAGTACACCCAACATGGTTTTGAGGAGTTTATTGCTTTTAATATGTTTAAGTCATATTTTAGCTGCGGACTCGTGGAGGAAACCTGGCTGTCACCGAATTGGTTTAGATTTTATATCTATTTATATTTTTATTTATTAAGTATAAATTTTAAGGAAGACAAAATGGGCGTAAAATATAAATTAATGTACTTAATGTCCTGTTTATATTCTAGGTCATACAAGAAATATAAGTATACCAGACTGCGTTGAGTTCAAAATAACAACAAATGCCTGCCGAGGATTTTGCGAATCATGGTCTTTGCCAAGCATCATGCTGGGTATTAAAAGGCATCCGGTTACATCGTTGGGACAGTGCTGTAATATAATGGAATCTGAGGATGTAAGTTATGGTCAATTGATGAAGATAATTTGAAAATATTGTCGTGTCACTAGTTACGTTGTAAGAGAACCATGATCCTAGTCGCCCTTAAGTGTCATAAAAGAAAACTTAGGGAAATACTTGGACAATCTTGTAGTCTGCGACAGATGACATCCAGCTCGCTTATTTCAGATCCAAAAAAGACCAGCTACGAAGAGATGGGTAACGAATAGGTGTGGTACTGAAATGCAGTCACAAATTGCTCCGCCAGGCTGTGCAATTTAGTCAGTACACTAGTTTTCAGGAGACTAAAATATTCAACAGTAGATAGTTTACAGGTTGTTTATCTTATATTAAAAAAATCCGTGTGGCGACATAAGATAATTCATCACCTCATTCCGTCCAGTGGGTGTCGTAAGAGGCAATTATTGGAAATGCTACGTAGGTATCATGACTTGCGACAGATGGCTGAATAACCATCCCGTTCACACCAGTCATCAAATACTCAGACCGGTGACGGCGAGCAGCATCAAAGGTGTTAGACGTTTACTACTATTGCCAATGCTCATACGCTTAGCAAGTGGGGCGTTATGCCAATCTTCCTTACTACGGGAATTGCTTAAGTAGACTGCTGTGGTCTCTCCTCACTGATTTATATTTATAGGTTTTGTGGTGCCGTAAGCGTTTACAAATTAAGCCATAAAGGCCCAAACCGGCGACGGTGATTTTTTTTTTATATAAAATATTTAAAAAAAAAATCAAGACGCCTAGTACTGCGTATGCCAAATCTGGCGCGCAAATCATCATACTATCTATTCGTCTCATATCTAGTTATAAAATGTAACTGGATGACGAAGTGAAACGGAAGACTAATTTAATCACCCTAATATTGATTACAGGTTCCAGTTAAAGTGTTGTGCTTAGACGGCGAAAGAAACCTAATATTTAAGTCCGCCATCTCATGCGCTTGTTATCATTGTCAAAAAGAGTAAATTATGAGATCTTTTAGTTGCATAAATTTAATATAGTATGTTAAAATCTGCAATTAATATTGATTGAATTAAAAAATAAGCAAAGGTGCAAATTGGTTTAAAGTGTAACTTACAATTTTTTTATTTCAATCTTGTGCATCGATAATGTTAGGTAATTCAAATGTAATTAAATGATTGCGTTTGCAATAAAAATTTTATTTAAAATACTTCCCTTTTGAATTTCTTCTTTTTCTGTGGTATAAACATAAAAAATATTTTATATTTTATACCACGTACTATCGGGTATCGTGAATTACTTACTTACATACATCTTTTATTACAACTCGTAATTTGAATGCCTTATTGAATATTTGATCACATATGGATATAATATATATAAAGATACTTTATCATACCGAAAAAGTGACACTAAAAAGTGACAAACATATACGTCTATAGGATTTAGCCTACGAGAGAATGAGATAGAATACAGTGTAGTACGAGTAAGCGACAGTAGTCTAATGGCAGTGTGCGGACCGCGAAATCAAAAGGATATGGGTTTGAATCCGCCATTCGACTACTGTCGTGAACATCAAGCATTTTAAGCTTACGAGTAGTGGTTAAAGGGAATATGAGTAATAGCCAGGGATTAATTGCGGTTAAGATACTCTTAGAGAGTCACTTAGAGTCTCTTAGAAAAAATTTAAAGAAATAAATATATTAACTTTGGCCTCTCAGTATATTTACGAAAATTTAATGTATGTTCACAAAAATAAAGACAGTTTTAGTAAAACAAGTGATATACACTCTGTAAACACTAGGAACAAACACAAGCTAGTGATACCAGTCTCTCGACTCCACAGAGTCAGTAATTCATTCTTGGGGCAAAGTATACGCTGTTACAACAAAGTCCCAGAAAATATACAAGGTCTCTCTTTTACAAAGTTTAAATATTTAATTAAACAAAAACTGTATAAAAAGGGTTATTATAATATAAATGAAAGGGGTTTTGTTACAACTTTGTATAACCTTTACATAACCGAAATTATTTCGGCAAAGAGAAATATCGCGCGGCGTGGCAGAATACGACGCGACGTTGCAAGTTTTCTCACTGAGAGAACTTGCAGCGTCGCTAAGTCGCTGACAGATTCTCAGCGACTCGGAGCGGGAAACTCCGCTGAAGTCGGCCGCGAGCGTCCGTCAGGTACCAGTTGCCCACACGACCACACGGATATCGAAATCGACATCGCTTATACTCGCTGTCACCTCAAGTCGTCTCGCTGAAGCTAAACGATTAATTTCATACCTAATAATTTTAATGAAATTATAATGGGAAGAAAACGAAAGATCGCTGTGTACGCTAACTTTTCTTTTGACAAAGAGACAAGAACTTCTTTCTGGTTAGTCTCTTTTTTTATATAAGAGGGGGCAAACGAGAATACGGCTCACCTGATGGTAAGTGACTACCGTCGCCCATGAACAATCGCAACACCAGGGGAGTTGTAGGTGCGTTGCCAGCCTTTTAGAATAGAGTAAGTTATTTTCTTGAAGGTCCCAAAGTCGTATCTGTCCGGAAAAATCGCCGGTGGTAAACAATTCCACAGAGAAGTTGTGCGAGGAAGAAAACTTCAAGTAAAATGCACAGTAGTGGACCACCAAGCATCCAGACGGTAAGGATGGTATCATGAATTTTGAGGCGATGTGCGTTCGTGAAATTTGGCAGCTGGAATTATTCCGACCAATTCCTCAGAGTACTCCCCGTGATAGATGGTATAAAATACGCAGAGATGCAACGCAGTGCCAGTGAGTCAAGCCGATCGGACAGAACTCGGTCGTCGAAGATTCGAACCTCTCTGCGCTGAATGCGGTCCAGTGGAAGGAGCTGGCACTGGGGTGCCCCAGCCCAGAGATGAGAACAGTATTCCATGTGAGGCCGAACTTGCGCTTTGTAAAATTGCAAGTGATGTACCGGCATAAAATACTGTCCCGCTTTGCGGATCATGCCAAGATTTTAAAAGCTAATTTGACCTTCCCTTCCAAGTAACCACGAAACTGCACACTATTCGATATGTCGACGCCTAGAATTCCGATGCTAGATGCCTTAAAACTGAGGAGATACAACAAAGAGGTTCTTTTCAGCAGTAAACGTGCAAACTTGTGTCTTCTGGGGATTGATCTGGACTAGATTTAGTCGCCTCCAATCCGAGACTTTGTTTAGCAAAGACTCGACTTCAGACACAAGTTTGGCCAAGTACTTGACGACGTTTTCCCGAGAAATATTGGCATGGCCGGTGTATAAAGCATCACCAGTGCAACATATCATTGATATACAGAAGAAACAGCGTTGGTGATAGCATGCAGCTTTAGTGGAACACCAGCGTTAATAGGCTTGTAATCAGAGCATGCACCGTCTACTACGACCTTGATGCTCCGATCAGCAAGGAAACTGGTGATTCAATTGCGCAATTTCTCGAGAAGCCCATAGGAAGGGAGCTTCGAAAGAAGCGCTTTGTGTCAGACCCGATCGAAGGCCTTCGATATATCCAAACTAAAAGCCAATGCCTCTATTGGACTTTACTGCCTCCGCCCATCTATGAGTCAGGTAGACCAAAAGATCACCAGCTGATCGACCCCGACGAAAACCGTATTGGCGGTCACTAATCAGCTGGTGATCCTAAACGTACCTCATGAGCTGGCAGTTTACAACTCTCCACTATTTTGGAGTCCATTATTTTGGAGAACAAGGAGATGAGGCCGATAGGCCTGTAGTTGGACGGGTCTGAGCGGTCGCCTTTTTAGGGATCGGGTTGGTCAAAGCTGTCTTCCATGAATTCGGGACTACGTCTTGGGAGTAGCAGTACCGAAATAGGCTGATAAATTGTCGCAAGTATAACTTAAATTAAAAATTAAAAAAAGCTAAATCGATTCCTTCGTTTGGGAGCTACGATGCCACATACAGACACACAGATACACACGTTAAACATATAACACCCCTCTGTTTACGTCGGGGATTAAAAATTGAGTAGTTTTCTAATGACAATATGGTTTGAATTAGGATGTTATAGTTTTTTTTTTAAATATTTCTATAAATGTACCTACGCTTATATAGGTTGACTCAGGACACATTTTTTGTGAACTTTGTTCTAAACCCGCCGTCCATTTAGTAGTAGGTCAATGTTTAGGTCAAACAAACTGGGCGATACGCTGAGAGTGACAAAACATATTAATTCTGACTGTCTCACTCTTATGATTTCGGGTGTAAATATATCTCGCTTACTCTCGGTTAGGGATGCCCGATTTTTTGTTGTGAATCGATCCTCTGGATCGTAACCTCGTGAATCGATTTACGATTTAATCGTATTGTATTGAATCGATCTTATACGATCTCGGAAAATCGTATCGTAATTTTATTAAAATAAAGAAAAGCACAGTATGCATGCATAATTATTTATTTTAACAACACCTATTACGGTATCCAGTGAGTTTTTCCAAATAATTATTTTTGAAAAGTATAAAACAGGTTTTACATTATGAATTCCAGCTATCTAACTTATTTTTTTTTTAATTAAAGCATCGTAAGTTATTCCCTGTAACATGGGTTATCTGCCAGTGAAAATCATCTCATCCGTTTCTGAGATTAGCCGGAACAAACAGCCAGACAGACGAACGGACAGACAGACATAATTTTTTTTTAGTATTAGTACCGTATATACTTTGAAATGTATTCAGTAAAAAGCTGTTATTTTGACATTACAAACAGACACTTCAATTTTTTATTTTGTATAGAAGATAGATTCTTACAATTTCGGCAATTGCTGTAGTTGAACTTTCTTCACTTTTGCTTAGCTCAGAATAAGTGTCTATGTGATGAGTCTTGAAATGATTTTTAAATTGGTAGTATTTCTACTATTTTTAACCATCTGTTTACACATTTTACATTGGCCACCCATGTCACATTTAATTAAAAGAAAGCCCAAGCCAAGCGTTTGATTTGGTTGGAGTGGCCATATTAAAAAATATTTTAAAGTAATAGTTTACCCTCACAGAACAGTTAAAATTTTCGTATCGCAATAATACAAAGAATGAAAGATCTTATAACACTAACATAGGTACCCGATAATAAAATAAACAAAATATTATCATACCTACCTTCATATTTCATACACTACCATTTTAGATGTAACTCGAATCTACTCTCATTTAATGTGTAGGTTCTAAGTAAAACAGTAACTAAAACAAAGTAAGAACTTTGTTTTAGTTATTCTGTCCCCTCCCCGGAAATACGATAGGTATGCAAAGATCAGTTCATACGTTAGGACGTTACTGTTTGGTTGATGTTTAGGTTTTAGTTGATACGATTTTTTCATTCGATCTTATAGCCATACGAATCGATCTGGGTGAAGATCGCATTCCCTTGAATCGATTCAAAAATCGGCAGATCGTATGGCCGTGAATCGATCTTCCAGAAAATCGATTCAGATCGGGCATCCCTATTCTCGGTACAATGATTTATAAGTTAAGTCAAGGTTATTTTATATCTTTGTCTACATCTATTACCACAGAATAAATAATAGTACTACACTGTTATTGCTATTACTTACTTCTGCCTACTTCGTATTAGTTTCTGGAGTATATTATATGATTTAGATGTTTATATAGATGTAAACACTGTTGCTGACATTAACGTGGCATGTTTGGCCTAAAGGTCTAGATGCCAGGCCATAAACTCCAAAAAAAATAAAAAAAATAACGTGGCATGTATATTGTCATAATGTCATTATGATTCTGACGTTGACGGATCTATTTTCAATGTAATCATGTGTGTTGTCGTTTTACAAGTCCAAAAATTCAGATGATAATGAAACTAAATTAAAATCTACTTGTGCTTTGTTCTACTTATTAAGAAAGATGTTATGGAGGACAAGCCCACCACATCTCATACAACGCCTGTATGGCAAAACTGTGTCCACTGTCCAAGTTTGCTTTTTACTAGTGCTTCAGAATTCGAAAGGTTTTTATCATCTTGAGTCAAATCTATTTTATATTCATTTAATATGTGTGCTTTTCTTCGATTTCGTGTTTTTTTTTTGCAGACACATTCAGGACAAGCATAGTATAAAAGAAGGATCAATAATATTATGCCAATATGGACAAAATGGAATATGTTCTGCTCTTCAGTTTGGAGATTTACGAAAATCGGGTTTTAAATATCATGTGAGAGAGTATCATTTATATACAAAGGGAGGTAATGAGGATTGGACATTTTATTCATCATCACAAAATCTTCCAGCTGTTTTAAATGACCCTAATAGGGGTAAACAGAGTAACTTTTTCACCAAAACTTGGGGCGACAGCTTTGTGGAAAAAGTTGAAATTCATCCTAGTCCTTATTTACCAGAAATAAATCTATCTCATTTTGAATCATATTGTAAGAAAATTTCAAAAAGATATCGGAGACATAACCAATTAAAAGATGCCCCACCTGTTAAAACAAAACTCAAAGTGGCTGTAGCTGAAGAAAATATCTGTGAAGTACCCGGTATATTTTATTCACAAACATTGCTTTTAAATGATCCAAAGATTTTTAGTAAAGTTTTCCCTGGCCTCTCTAATTCGCCCGACACCAATTCAACCATTCGATCACTTCAAGAAACATTGAGCACATATTTGGATGTCATAGAAATGAAAATATCAAAACAAGTGGCTCAAAAGTCAGATGCTTTTTTTCATGCTATGCTTTCCCACGATACTATAATGGAGCAAATGGCAAGAGCAGTGAAAACAGTTCAAAATACAAGGTGTAATATAACAACTGTAAAACGAAATTTAACAGAGTGTCCGTTACAGTTAATCAGTCTTACAAGAATCAATCAAAATCTAAATAATGTACATGATTTACTTAAGCTGATGGGAACAGTTCAACAAACACAGCCCATGATTCAGCTGCTACTTAGTACTTCAGATTATGTAGCAGCTTTAGATTTAATAAGTTCTACACAGAAAGTATTGTCTACACATCTCTCTGGAATTCAGGCTTTTCGACATTTATCACCACAGCTGACTGAAATGAGAAGGTTAATACATAAGATGTTGAGTAATGAATTCTTAAGATTTATTGTTACAGACTTAAATAGACCACTCAGTGATCATTCTGATCTCCCAGAAAGGGACAAAATTATTTCTATAGTGTCTGGAATACTCCGTTTGAAAGAATTTGATTTTCTTGATATATTTAAATCTGAAGCTATGACTTCTATTCAAGCCACTATAAAACAGTCTGTCATAGAAATTATTTCTGAGAGAGATGGACAAAACGAAATTGTGTTAAGGGGTTCCCATGCTGATAACACTTGGTTGATGTGCAATGAAGGTATAATTTTCCTTCAGAAAGCCACACCTAACTTGACAGTTATATTTAAAAGAATTTTATCTATGAGCAATTTAATTGTAGACATTAGTCAAATGGATGATGTTACTGGCAATGAAAGTGAAGAAATGTGGACGCAAGAAGAAGTAACTTCTGTAGAAGATAAAATAAAGAAGTTAATTGGTTCTCTTTCAGACTATTGTAATGAAAGATGTGCCAATCTTATAGTAACAAAGACTGATAAAGATTATATATTTTCTGACTTGACGCAGCTGGCAAAATTATCAGAATTAATTGATATTTTCTCTAATGAATTTGAAAAAATAACTGGTCATTACAGTAACACAATGAAATTGGCTTTAAGAAGTTTTGCTATGAAATATATACAAAATTTACATTCAGAGCGTAGGGCTCAGCTAACAGCTACTTTAAATGGTGAAAGGTGGAAAATTGCTGATGTCCCATATGAATTACAGAGTGTTGTTTCTAAGATTTGTGAATTGGAAAGTATACCACACACACTTCAGTATGAAAGTGGTGGACCAGATGGAAAGTACTTAGTTATTAATAAAGAAAATTATGCGGTTGTTGCGACAGTTCAGCTTCTCATTAAGATTCTATTAGAGTATTGTGATGCAACTAAACAATCTCCGGATATAGTCCAATATTTAGTACATTGTATGCTAGAATTAATTAGATTATTTAATTCCAGATGTTGTCAATTGGTTTTGGGGGCTGGTGCTATACAAAGTGCAGGCTTAAAAACAATATCCACATCAAATCTTGCACTTGTCTCTAGATCATTGCAAGTTGTGTTATGGCTCTTACCACTCATTTTAGATTTGCTAGTAAAACTACATTCAAAAGAACTATTATTGAATGGTTTCAGCAGTATTGAAAATGACCTAATTAGCCATAAACAAGAGATAGAAAATAAAATTTGTATTATTGTTAGTAATATGCTAAGTTCACAACTTTCTGGTTGGGAAGCCAAACCACCTGTTCCATCTCAAACATTCCGTAATATATCTAAGCATCTAGTGAAATTACATGAAGCACTTATTGATATCCTGCCCATTGAACAAATTAGGTCTATTTATATAAAAGTACATGATAATTTCAAAGACAAATTAAGGGAGCAGCTAGCCAAAATGAATATTGTTGCAAATGGAAGTCCTCAGCATGGTGTTGTAACTTCAGAGCTAACATTTTATTTACAAACTCTAAAAACTCTTAGGGTAATAAATGAAAATGATAGTGAAGATAACATATTGTATGATATTTGGTTGAATTAGAAACATTCATATTATAAAAATATTATGTTTAGAAGAAATTTGTAAAATTGAAGTCACGAATTAAAATCATCAAAGAGTATCTTACTTTAAAAGTAATGTTTAATAATCTAGTCATATTTTCATAACACTTTACTGATTCCTTATCTACGCAAATACTATACATTGAATAAAACTGATTTTGCGAATTTAATCAAACTTAATTTTAGCTTATTTGAATTTAAAACTAAAAAATACAAATAAATAAATTAAATTTGGTTTTATAAAATGCTCTATTCTTATATTTAATTTTAGAACATCAGTTTAATGTTATTTATTTTATAAGTTGTTTATGTACACACAATGATAAGAAAGCAGAAAAAGAATGCTTTACAAACTAGCTAACTGCCATTTTTATATTTCTTCCAGCAGGCCAATTGATGAAAAATTTCAAATTCCGAACAGTTCTTGTTATATATATTTTTTTTTAATTAAATAAATTACTTACATAGCCATGTTATGCCGTGGTGGCTCAGGCCTAAAATCGATCCCTATTGATTGTATTGTTAAGGGCAATTTTAACTATTGATTTGTGGTAAAGAAAAATATCTGAAAGAAATGCTAGGGCACTATGGTAAACTTTTCCCTTACCCACTCTGAAATGAGAGGAAACATGTTACTTAGAACGGTGTGTTGATACGCTGTTGTACTTATCACACACAAATGTAACCATAAAATTCAAGGTTTATTTTAAAGTGGATACTTTTTGAATTGACAAATAAATAAATGTATTATATTTAAAAATCTTGTTGATTCTACCTTCTATACTAAAGTAATATAATTCATTGAATTATATTATTATTATTACCTATTTATGTGTATATTATCCATTAGTGAATTAATAGTTTCTTTATAATTCAGTATGTACTCGTATATCAAAAATTTATATATTTATCACGCTTTAATTAGCTTCGCGTGTGTCTATCTATGTAATGGAATGTTTTAATTAAATTTTCGACAACTTGTGTACCTATACGGCCGATTGACTTGAAAATTTGCACTTCTTTATTATATTATTTGCAATACTTTATCCTAGTACATATCCTGTTCAGGATCAACAGGATGAATAAAATTATTACCAGGAGGATCATCACATCTCATGATCAATGGGCGTTAAGTTTTTTTTTTTTAACTTTCATATTATTTGCGTTTTATTATCATAAATTAACAGTTTTAGACAGAGTTCTAAGTGTACCCATGTATAACCATGTTTTAAGACCAATTCAAAATAATGCCTATTTTATACAAACAGCTCACTTATACCAAATCATTACCACCACAGCCTTTCGAAGGTACACTGCCGAACATAGACCTAGATCGCTTCATAAGGGGATAGTCGACAACCAGTTTTTTCTTATTATTGTGAGTATTATTAGGAAGTGCTGCTGTCCATTTCCTGTTTTATTTCCCTTTGTCGCCTATTAAGACACCCAACGATACTATGATGTAGTGGAATCTCTTACGATATCTTTATAGCTAATTTGACAACAACTCAATAGTTGGTTTCAGGTCTGGTTGTGTTGTGATAATGCCCATGTGCCTGGCACTGCCTATCTTCAATGTTATCGCAAAAATGTTACATGGGGCACGGGCACTGTGTTAACTGGGACCAGTGATTCCGTGCTTTGGGGCACTCTACATCTTCAGAGTGTATTTGATGATATTTTACTAAGGATATCTGGTCACATATTTTATATCACGGCAATCGCTGTTTGCACAGGGATTTATTATTTTTCAGTAATTTGATTAAGCAAGCAGATAAAAGTCCTTTTTATAATTAAATCTAATATCACGTTGCTTAGACAAACTAAAAATAATATTCTAAATTACACCTAAGAGATGTATCATAATTTACAAGTTTCACAAGTATTATAAACATTAAACCCTAATTTTACTGTAAGTACACTACTTGAGTATTAATGTAAATAAGTATTTATTACACCTTGTAAGGCCTCAACAAACATTATATAATACCTATGCCTTATAACTCTGATATTTTATAGTACCTACTAACGGGTTGGCGTATATGTAAGGTCTAGTGTGATATAATTTTAAAATAATAATTCGTTTATAAATGTAAGTTTAAATTATATTTCATTTGTAATGTCTTTATTTTGTTAATGTAACCCAGATTATTAAATAATGAGATAAAGACTGCATATTTTTCATGTAGATAAATACCCACAAAGCAAATTTTTATGCCATGAACATTGAACATAAGTAAATGTTAAAAATATGTTTCGTTCATAATTTTTAACTTGTTTAAAAAAACGAAAAAGTGTACAGAGCTATTGCATAACTTAATTCCTCCCTCTCCCTTCCACCATCGGATAATCAGACGCCCGACCAGTATCCACCCCTTCGTTGCCGATTTACCACGAATTCGAACCAAACGTTTTGTTTCATCGTTCATCATACGGTCAGCAAAGTAGTCGAATAGTAGTAAGTAGTGTAATCAGCATCTGTTTTTCCATTCGAAAGAGCGTCCCCGTGGCCCTGCCAATATGGCGGCGAAGGTGGAACACCATGTTTAAAGTCGGTGCGAATCCGATATAACTCGTCCTTGCCCCTACGAGGCGGGTATGGCATTTCCCCATGTAAAAAAAGTTCATTTTTAAGATAATTAAGAATCAGACATTATACTTAGCGGAAATTTATTCATGATGTGAAAATTAATTATAATCCGGATGAAAAACGAACTGTCTTAAATAGATATATGACTACCTCCCTCCCTCCTATAGTTGCGTGCACTATTACTGACCCACATACTACCACCTGAAACACACCACCCTCGATAATACAACTGAAGCATTATTTTAAGTTAATTTCGATACATCATAATGTCGTCCTGTCTGAGCAGTGGTTGATCACACCACACGGAGCGGAGCGTTGGCCGCTCCCCGGGATGAGCGAGGCGGAAGATCTCCCCTTTTTCCTTCTTTTTTTTTTGTTATATGAAGTTAACGAATGTTTTGAAACGATGATTAATGTAATCTTTACCATTTGACTGTACAATCTGACTGACTGTTATAATTAAGAGGTATCAAAAGGTCATACTGTATATATACCTACTGTAGATAGAAAGTATGAAAGATAATATATTTCGATATTTTTGTTTGACCTTAGAACACTGCGCATTCCTGATAACGGTTTATGACTCAAGGTAATGTAAAAGCAAATTAAACAAGAATTTACGGTAACAAAGATGTTTATTACATAGATTTTACAACAAAATAGGTTCTTTGGGCAATAATAAATTATATTTTGGTATCATAAAAATATGATGCCATTGGGTACCTAATCAAAAACGCAATGCACGTGCAAAGTATTTGAAATAACATTAAGAAGATTGTTAGTCTTACTTCCGTTGTCGGACCCAACTTTATTAAAAAAAGATTTATTAACGTCATATTATTTATTGTTATACTAACATCATCTTCTGTTTTTTCAATTAGACTTAAGTTACTTAATATGCCTATAATTAAATTACTAAGGAAGTTTAAATCTTTCTTAACTATTAATGTTCTACTTGCTTGAAGTAAATCAGTTTCCGCACTGTATTTAGGTAATCTATGTCTTGGACAGGGAATTATGTGAAACAACTGAGGAACTGAATATACGAAGTTAATTATTTGTGGAATAAAAAACAATAGCACAGTTTTACTGAAGTGACTAAGAATACCAACTACTGCGAACGTCATGCCAGATACATAGCAGAATGTGTCGCCAACAAACACTTTGGACGGATACCTATAAACAGAATAAATTTAATTTTAATCATGCACATAGGTGCTACGAATACTTGATAAATATAAACAAGTTTAGTTCATTGCAAACTCAGAATCTTTCAGTCAATATGGGACTTTGTAGGAAATTATGCTGCAAGTGTGCACTATACTCTTAAACCTAAAACAAATAGTTCCGTCAACTTGCATCCATTCCGAAATAGCGCTTATGCTATTGCATCGAAGGCAGGCACTTGAATATACCAAAGGTTTGAAATCAATAATTTTACACATATCATAATTAGCAAACTTATTTTTAAATAAATATTTATTTCTGCTTAGATTCGAACCTGCATCTGCCTTCTGGTAAAATAGCCAAGTGGTCGTCGAATATCAGTATATTAGAATCATTGTAGACCACAGTTAACGACAGGAGACATAATTTCTAAATTTGGTTTCCCTTTAAAGACGTATAGATGAATTGCGGTTACAGCACTCAGGGGTCTACTATATAATTAGATTGAACATTTTGTCTTTTAACAAACATAATATACCTAAATGTTAGAGCCATAGCATCTCAGGGAATAAACGCTCACCATAAATTTCATAGGTCCAGAGTTCGACCTCTGCCAGCAGTGATGTAACTGTTATGGCGGTAAAGGAAAACATCGTGAGGAAACCTACATGTCTAAGGATTTTTTACATTATTTAAAGGACATGTAAAATTCGTAAACAGGTATTAATTCAGCAGCAGGATGGATCCGCACTGCTTCAATACTCTGTACAAATGTGATTTGCGCCTTAGCCTTATCCACATCTAAAAGAATTTACCATAATTACCACGCTCAGTACCAGTCATATTACGCATTTTATGCTACTCCCCGACGCTGTAATTTTTAATCAGGCATGTATGTCTGATTAAACTTCGCCATCCATCGAAGATCACAAGATCATGATGGCATTTTCCGCAGTAGACTCCTGACGTTGTACTCTTTGTCCGTGAGATGGGACACATATCATTTTACTAGGAGGTATTTTTTATTTTCTGTTTAGTTATTACATATTTGTAAGTAGTGTGTTATGTCATAAGTATTGTATCCTCATTTCATAAGTATTGTATCCTCATTTCATATTGAGCTTCACTGCTTTATCCTTCGATTAGTATTCTATTGTATCCTTCGATGCATTGATGGTTTAGTTCTGAGACAAACGTGTACACTGTCTACTTGATTGAGTATAAATGGATGCTGTAGTTCATTAACGCCTACATCTACACTAGCGTGCAAAAAAAACGGTCCGCCCGGGCAAAATGTAAAAACTCACAACTTTTTACTTTTATTAAAAAATAAACGTGATTTTTATAAGATTTGCTGTTTGTTGTTTTGTAACTCGAGCTGAAAGGTTTCGGGACTATGGATTAGAGCACGAGGGGGACGAAGCCTTGACTTCATTAGACGACATCTCTCCAACTTAACGTTTAGGTTCAATGTGCCTCTAACCATTCGGTGATCGCTATCAGTTTTCACCCTCGCGATTACTGAGACATCACTGAACAGTTGCCGTCTGGTCGTCATAATCAAGTCAATCTCATTTTTGTCGAACCGTCGGGGCTCGACTAGATCCATTTCCTGTGGGGCCACTTCTGGAAGAAAAGAGTCCCTCTTTCTCTTTGAAGTCGACCAGCTGCTGGCCCCTTGAGTTCCGTTGCCCTATTTCAAATTGCCCTACCTTCAGCTCATCGTTCTCTCTTCTGCCTAGTTTTGCGTTGAAGTCTCCCATTTACACCGTATAGTGAGTTTTTTAGGAATGCATGGCTCTAGATATATCCTCATACATTTCCTCCACCTCCTCATCGGGACGTGCCGAGATTGGTGCGTAAAACTGTTTGACCTTCAACGAATACCGTTTGGTGATTCTGAATACAAGGTACGCAACCCACGTCGAGACACTCTCAATCTTTACAACGTTGTTAACGAGAGACTTGTGGACGATAAATCTGACACCTCCTTGGGACAGGTGGTCGCCCTACCGGTGATAGAGCAAGTTTTCGGATTCGAGGATTACCGTGTCATCCTTCAGACCTCGGATAAGCCTATAATATGCCAGCGTTGTCTATCTCTTCTTCCAACTCCAGGATCTTCTCGTCAGTCCTCAGGGTGCATGCATTATAAGTTGTCAGGTCGAGTCGTCGTAGGTGGCAACCGAATATCCACCGGAGATTATTTGCGCCACCTGCCTCGCCGTTACCATGGTCGCCACCGTAGCCAGGAATAGCGGGCCGGCGGGGACTGGGGGCCGCTTATTAGTGTCGTTGCTCTTGGGCGGTATATTGCCATAGTTGCCACGCCTAGCTAGCGGGTTGGCAACCGCAGCTTTTTTTTTATTGATTTTTGCTTTTATCAGAAAGATGCTGCTGTCTATCTTCTACCTCAGTCACACAGTTATATATCTGGATGGAATTAAATGTCCATTTTAAATGAAGACTATTCAGTCTTATCTTCGTAAGAGAAGGCAGCCCAATAATTACCGAATCACTCCCATATGCCACAGTTTTCGACATGGTTTACTGCGCACATCGTTTTTTGGTAGTCAGTGCACAAGATTACGATGGCATATAAGCTCATTCTGCTCTCATCAGAAATTAGAACATTCTTCCACCACGATTAAAGTGCTCTGGGGTAAAAGTAATCTTGCGACTCAATGTGGCGTAATGAATTTGGACCTGTTGCTAGCTTGTGCGGTATCATGGCTTTGAGTCGTCACCTTACTGTCCACTCACTAAGATACCTCTCACTTCCCTCAGATTCTGAACCACAAGCCCAATACGATGACGATTTCTTAGTGCTGCTCTTACAATATAGCGACTGACACGCTCTGATGTTGCCCTTCTCCGACCTGAACCGTGTCATCTTATAGAGCCATCAGTCTCCACGTACTATTTGCAGTCATACATCTGGATCATAGAACGGATCACAGGGAGTTCTGGCCATTTGACTTTGCACGATTTCGAGCAAAGTGACGATTTAGGTCTAAGAAAATAAATTCACTATTTATAGCCCAACCAAACTAAAAGCATTTCAGTGTCATTTTCCTATTTTGCGCTTTTCGACTATATTGATGAGTGCAAATTTCCTAGAACCTTGAATGATAATGAGGGAAACGAAGGTGGCTATATAATCTCCATAATTGCCTTTCCGAAACTATAATTTATATATGGTGAAAACACAAAGTAAAGATTTAACGGGTGATCCAGTTGCTATTTTTTTTGCACGCCAGTCTAATATGATAATCGATTAATAACCTCAATTCTCATCATTGGGGAATGGCTTGTTACCAGTAAAAAAGGCTCTACGGTTCTCTGCACTCATCATACGAATCACAGCAGCTATTTTACTTATGCCACCATTTACTGAACCGATTCAGTCAAACTGCAGCATTAATGCCGCTGCACCATGGCTCTTCCACTTTTAATCATTAATAGTTAATCATATTATGAATGCATATTATTTCGAATTTTTTAGCGTTTGTAACATGATATGTTTTATAACTAGACATCTAGTAATCAATTCTATAACAATACTAGCGATCCTGGATCTCGACAACAGCGCCACCTACCGGGTCCAATTGTTAATCTAAACCATTCTTGAATCGACTTAATCACACACACAAAATTTCATCAAAATAATTCCAGCCGTTTAGGAGTTCAGTCTCATACACACGAACAGAAGAATTTTATATAAAAAGATATATTTAAACTTAAAATATATGCTTACCAATTATGTTTTAATAATGCTAAAGTTGTTGCTAAGTATGGTATCATGATGTGAAGTGAAAAACAGTGAGCTTTATACTGGTCTCCTCTCAGTTCTATGACATCAAAAACTATGATAGATATAGCTATTATCACTGACTGACCTACTTCCAGGCCATTTATACCAGCTAAAATGTTTATGGCATTTGTACAAAAAACTGCTAACATTCCCATGTATATGTAATAGAGGAAACCTGCAAAAAAACTTACTAGTCAGTTTAGATAATATAAATGTATATTGGAAAAAAGAAAACATTTTTTTTTATAGCAGAACAAAATAAGCTTAACAACTAAAAAACCTATCATATTATATTGTGTTAACTCAGTTCATATTTTTAAAATATATTTGATAAAATAGTAGTTTATAGTATATATTTATGGTGCAGATCTTATTTTAATAAACCTTTGAACTTGTATGGTTTTTGCAATAATCATTTACTATAGAATGAACAATGAATCGTTCTGAATAGCATTGATGTCACCATCGCCATGATTCACCTCATACTCAAAATAGTATAAAATATGTATAATATATATACAGGTGAATTTTTCAAAGAGTAGCCAAATTTTAAACTTAACTTCAAACATATAAATAATAATGATATATCACTATTGAATTTTTGAAAATACAAGTAAATAAGGCTTCTACTATTATTTGAAACTATTCCAAATTGAATGTGATTTATGGTTGATGTATGTGTAATTTAATAGATAAAAAGGACAGAATATTTGAGATTTTTTTAATTAATTTTTCTTCACCATTTGCCTTATTACTTATTCAGACCTTCTCTACATATATATATATATATATATATATATATATATATATATATCGCACTCTATTATTTTTTTATAGGATAGGGTGACAAACGAGCACACAGTCCACCTGATGTTACGTGGTTGCTGTGGCTCATAGACATCTACATCTATCTTCGTTTGCGAATTCAAATGCAGATGCGTTGTCACCCGTGAGGACTAAGATGGAATGCCTCTTTCCCAGTAAAAAGGGCGTAGACCCTTCTCTCTCTACACTCTCATACAAAACACAGCAGCATAGAGCTGCTATTTTATGCTGATATTTTGTGACAGCGTGGTCCTTCCACAGTCGAGCTGACCTATTTGTGCTTACAACCATAATATAGCTGCAAAAAATGCAAATGCGTTGTCACCCGTGAAGACTAAGATGGGATGCCTCTTTTCCAGTAAAACGGGTCTCCGATTTTATACACTCACTATACGACACAGCAATTATAAGCTGCTATTTTACACTGGTATTCTGTGAGACCGTGGTCCTTCCCCGGTTGAGTTGATCCATTTGTGTTACAACTATACTACTAATATAGGTGCAGCATGGCTCTACCACGTAAAAATCTCTATACAGATTACTTAAGAAACAAAGATTTACATTTTGGACCACATAAAATTAGACTTAGATATCATTTAAAGCAAGTTAAACTTGTGTAAATATGGCTGAATGATGATGTTGTGTAGCGGCGGTGTAAGGGAATCTACCACCACACATAATCCTGTAAGTGTCATAAGTAGCGACAAATAGAGACTGGAATAGGAGGTGGGCAGCAGCATCTTCATGTTAAGAGCTCAAAATAAATAAATAACTGTGTTTGCCATAGCTGTAATACATGAAGTAATAATGATTAATTGCCAAACTAATATTTGTTTGAATTTCTGGACTATAAATTTTTCAGATCATACATGCTCAGGTATCCTAAAACTCAGTCACTGGACGAGAGGCAAAGTGTCACTAAAAAAAATTCATATGACACTTAGTTAAGTGATAGGCATAAAACCTCAATCATAATTTTTAACAGTGGTAGAGCCACGCGGCATCTTTTGCTGTCGCACGGATGGGCCGGCTTGAACTGGGGTGGTACCACGACCTCACAGAATACCAGCGTGAAGTAGATGTTTACCTCTACGTTTCGCTTGGTGAGTGCAGGTGGCCAGAGGCCCTTTTTACTAGAAATAAGGCATTCCATCTTAGTCCTCACGGGTGGCAATGAGTCTGCATTTTGATTCGCAAACGAGGATAGATGTAGATGTCTATGGGCCGCAGCAACCACTTACCATCAGGTGGACTGTGTGCTCGTTTGTCACCCTTATACTATAAAAAAAAATTGCTTTAAAAGTTTCAAGTGTTATTTTCTATCCTGTTAGTTGCAGTCTCAATTTTTAGAAATATACATTGTTAATTTAGAATAAAATTAAGTTTAATTGAGTCATGGCTTAAAAATATTTCAGCTAATTTGGCACTTCATCTTTTCTTTTAAGTGCTTCACTACCCTGGGCAAGTAATTACAAAAGATGGCCCATTTAACCAAGATTTTAAAATGGTACAAAACTTGCTACTTCTCTGTCCATAAAAAATATTAGAATATGGAGTGACGACCTGGTAAGACACACATGAAGTGACACAGGCAAATTTTTTGTGACATCTATTGGGGAAAGCCTAAGGCCTAAGGGAAAGGCGAAGGTTTCCAGCTTGACGTTAATATCTAGGACACCTGTATATGAAATTAATTCACAAACCACTTACCAATATTTACAGATGCTCCTAAAAATTGTCTCAGTGGTATAGGAACTATAAATGTAGTAGAGTTAAAATTTACGTAATAAACTACAAGGAGAGGCAATGAAGCTATAGTCGGCAAAATCAATTTGTATCTCCATCTTAAATCCAAAACATCATCAGCAAATCCCAAGAGTAGCATGCAACATATAGATAACAATGCAGCCAGTAATTCTGCAAACTGTAAAGGATTACAATATTGTAGTATTTTAGATGAGATCATGCTGTTACAGTGGTATGATGTATAATTTAAGATTAGCATCGTTTACAACTGTTATTCAAATTTATATATATTATGTGATGTCTATCCCAAAAACTATCCAATAACTCGCCCAGACTTTACTAATCACAGAGAAGATTAATAAACCATTCAAGTTAAAAAAAAAATTAAAATTTTTACATATTTTAATGTACAAAACTTTATTTTATACTACTAATGTTTGAAGTGCTTCTCAGCGCTAATGTTCACTGGAGCACTGACGTTTTTAATATTCTGACATCAAAGTTAACCCAGGCTGACGACAGCATTATAATTATTTTAGGGTATTTAAATAGTTTTCTCATCTGATTGTGTTAACAGTTGGACAGACAGAGAACAAAGTGATCCTAAGAGGGTTCTATTTTTTTTATAGGTAAGGAACCCTCAAAACCTGCCAAGTCTCCTGCCAACTGTATTATCTATGGCAAATATCAATCTTATGAGGCAATCAATGGAGGAAATCTATGTTCAGCAGTGGAATTTTGATAGTTTGTAATGAATGAATGAATGAATAAATAAATATACATACTAACTATTAAGTATATTTACTTACTTCGTTATGGGGGAAATGCTCTCTATTCATAAGACTGCTTCCAAAAACTATTGGTATAAAAAGAAAACTCGTAACTAAAAATACACATCCCGATACAACACCGACAGCTTCTGGACTAAAAGTAATATATGAATTAATAATACCATAATAATATTTTATATATGTAAAAAAGGAAGTAGCAAACTTACATCTTTTCTTTACTAGTTTTACACAAATCTATGCCATAAATGCCCGCTTTGATAAATAATTCACTTAGTTTTGGTATTAATTCATCAGTAAAAACATAAGCTATTATTGATAAAGCTGTTAGAATTATAAGCGATAGCATTTTAAATACGATTATTATTTATTTAAAATAAAGTAAATTTACATCTACATGTAAAAGTTTAAAAAAATCAAACTCAATATCTCAATGGTAGCTCAAAATAAATAACAACATTCGTCATTATGACAATTGACAATGTCATTTGTCACAATTGTCAAATGTCAAACAACCTGTGGCGGGTAGAAGGAAAAGGGGAGATCTCCCGCCGGGCAAGGTATTTTGCCCGGAGAGCGGCCAACGCTCCAAGTGGTAGTTCGGATCTAATCTATCTATGGGGAAATGCGGCTGATTCAGAAACTATTTTTGTTTTACAGAAGAGGGCCATTAGAGCTATTTACAATCTAAAACCGAGAGAGTCTCTTAGAGATAAATTTAAAGAAATTAATATATTAACTTTGGCCTCTCAGTATATTTACGAAAATTTAATGTATGTTCACAAAAACAAAGATAGTTTTAGTAAAAGAAGTGATATACATTCTGTAAACACTAGGAACAAACACAAGCTAGTGATACCAGTTTCTCGACTCCACAGTCAGTAATTCATTCTTGGGGCAATGTATACGCTATTACAACAAGGTCCCGGAAAGTGTACAGGTTCTCTCTATTACCAAGTTTAAATGTTTTATTAAGCTGAAACTGTATAAAAAGGGTTATTATAGTATAAATGAATACAGTGTCGTTTAGAAACAAAACTGATCAAATCCAAAAATAAAGGTTTTGGAATAAAGTACGCCATTTTTTTCTATAGAAAATCTTGTTTTTGTTACCGCTATCAAAAATAATCAGATCCAAAGCATTTCGTAGAAAATTTAATTAGAAATCACTGCTCAGTATCAAAAAGAGTGAAATCCTTCAAAGCTTAGAAACGAAATCGGTCTAATCTGCGTCGGCCAATCAGAAGCCAGAACTATGTATAAAAATGACAGCTGAAAGGCGGCCATTTTGCGGAGTGACGAGTGCATGGATCGTGATTTTGTATTCTCGTCGCCGTTTTTAATTAAAATTTGCTGTTTAATACCATTAAAATGGACAGTTTAATAAAGAAAACTACTCCCCAGTTGTCACGGAAAAGGACACAACAAAAAGAGGGATTGAAAATGCAACAAATTGAAGAAGGAAAGGTATGTTTGTATTACTTTGATCACTCACGCTGCCTTCATGGTCAGTAGTGCTAAACATTGTGTCATCTGTTGCAAAGAAAACTCATGTTTTATTTTGGATCAGCTACTAATAATTTCCTTTTTCTTGCAATTTTTTTTGTTTTTTTTGTTTTTTATTTATAATGGTATGGCATGAAGTATTTTATCCTACTGTGGTGAAGCCCAGAAGGAGGGTTTTGTGTTTTACCAGTATAATAATTTTATGTACGTCGGCTGTACGTACATAGGCTGAACCGGTTTCGATAAATTATGCGTCATTAGATTCCTCTTGATAACGCAAGTACATCTAAAGACCTTTCTTACCCGTGGTCCACCTAATAAGTTCACCTGGGTGGACTATGGGGACTTGTCCTGACCCTTGGTACACCTGGGTGCACTGGGGCCCATTGAATGTACTAAATAAAAATTATACGAATGGATCCCGTTTTTTTTTTTGATATTTAATTATTTATGATTGTTATTATTTTAGGTATACTCCAAAAGAGCCACCAAATCTATGACTTCCATGTGACCACTACACCAAAGCATACAGGTGCACTTCGTTGAGTCATACTGACATAATAGCATTTAATAAAGCTTTCTACAAAAAGGCGGACAAAATTTATCAGGATAATTTTATAATTAATCATACAAACAAAAGTTACTACCTACTAATCAGCGACATCGGCCAGTAAATCATCGTGGGAATAAAAAAGAAATGGTGGTAGCGTACTATCCACGACGACGTCACAAGTTTTTAATTCCAATTTGCAAACGCACATTTCTCTCTACTTTAGCTTTGAAGAAAGGAAGACTGACAGGTGTTCTTAATCGAAATTTCAAAGCCATGGGTGAAACTGCACAAGAGAATATAGGAGGACGACGTAAAACACAAATATGCACCTAAGAGGGAAGCTGTCAAAGACTTTATTAAAAAGCTTGAGCCCCTAGAAATTCATTTCTGTAGAAGTAAAATAAAAAGTAGACAATACTTGACATCGGAGCTCAGTATCAGTAAACTTTACAAAATGTTTATCGCACAAACCGCGAATGAACATAAAAATAGTAAGGCATCTTACTTCAGAGAAATTTAAATAAAGGTTTTTCGAATAAAGCAAGACTGATTTCAAAGTATTAGATCGTTTACATTTATTGTTACTAACCAATCAAAGCAAAATATTGAGAACCTCTGACATGATATTGTTTCAGCATCAAAATCAATCATATCCATGGTGTTATGAATCAAACATGATCAAATCCAACTAAATCAATAACAAAACAAGTCAAATCCATAGCTTCGTTTCGAAATAGGTCAAATCCAAAATTCTATCCTAATTATTTTGATTTTTTAGGTTTGTAGTCATGAATGTTTTTTATAAAATCATTAATACCAACTTAGGCAAAGCCATAATGATTCAAACTCTACAAATATCTTGTGCAGGGAGATCAGAACGAAAATTCGTTGATTCCCATAAATACTCCCGAGTGGATTTGACGACTTTTGTTTCTAAACTACTTACATGGTTGATAATAACCCCTGGGAATGAGGTAATCGCTTCCAAGCAGTTACTAAAATAAATTTTGTAAATAGTTCGTAATCATTTATATTGTAAAATTTATTTAAAAAAAAGTCCCGCTGGGTTTTTTGCTGGTTCTTCCCAGGACAGAGGGTTTTTTTTCGAACCAGCGATAAAGTAAAAAATGACTTTCAATAAGAATTACACATGTAATGTATATTGAATAAAAAATATTCTATTCTATTCTATATAATATACTGCTTTAACTTCGGAACTTTGTTAGCGCGATTTAGGCTTCGATGTGTTTCGCTTGTGGCGCGACGACAGCGCCGCCACATCACCCCCCTGCTCAGACCGGAGGTCGATAGTGCAGTCAGATTACCGGTGCGTCCTTAATGCCGGTGGGTAATGCATGCTGTGTGCGTAAGGGCAAGTGACGCCGGTGCGAACGATATGCCGGTGTGTAATGTATGCCATACTACGCACTTGTAAGTGATGCCGGTGAGAACGATGAGCCGGAGCAAGTGCCAGAATTCTGCCTTATAAATCTGCGGTGAGTCGAGATGAATGCAAGTATAATCTGCGAGAGTGCCGTGAAGCAGAGGCGAGCAGTAAGGCTCAGAGCCGTACCGAACACTAGCGCAGAGAGTAGCTTGAAGGAACAGGAAGCATTATTATTCCAGTGCTGCGATGAACCTTTGTAAAGCTAGATGGCTTGCAGAATGTGAAGACTGCAGACAATATCTGCTCGGGAGCGAATGAATGCGGTACTTGAGGACGATGACGAAGGTTTTGAAGTTCTAGTTTCCGAAGGTTGTTGGTTGCGTGTTCATATCAAGTCGGGTGGTCACCAGTCACTACTGGGGCGGGTGGAAGAAAAGGGGAGATCTCCCGCCGGGCAAGGTGTTCTGCCCGGGGAGCGGCCAACGCTCCGAGTGGTAGTTCGGAGCTATTCTATATATACTGCTTTAACTTCGGAACTTTGTTAGCGCGACTTAGGCTTCGATGTGTTTCGCTTGTGGTGCGACGACAGCGCCGCCACAAACCAATCAACAAATAACAAACTGTTAAACAAGCTCTCTACCAGATTCAACTTCTAAAATCACTAGAAACCACTAGATAACAAAAAGCGATCCTACTCCCATAATCCTTCAACTTTCCCCTATTTTATTATTAGTAATTGGTTACCTTTATGACTAAATATTATGTACCAAAATGTTAACTTTCTATGTAAATTAACTATAAATTAACATACAATTAATAAATCAACAAAACTGGGCAGGACACATAATTTTCTTTCTTTACGCGGAATTAAGCAAATTAGTTTATAAAAACCCCATTATAATGGATTTCCGCAAAGTAACGCCTGATTCTATTAATTAAATCAACCAGTTAACATCAAGAATATATTTAATTAACTGCTATTTTAAATTAAATATTCTTCTTCAGATTTACCATTTTTGTCGTCACCATCATCAGGTTTCAGGGTGATATGATTTTTTGGTATTATATAGTTTGTTTTACAACGCTTATCGGAGTTTCAAATTCGTGCAGCATTTTTCTGCCAACATCATACCGCAGCATATTCTTAATATGGCAGTTAAAGGTTTAACTTCATTCTATTCCTCTGCTTGTTTTTTATGACAGAGTTCGACAAAAGTCGCTAATTCCTCAAATTTAGATTTGATCGGTATGGATCGTCTGGCGCATATTATGTCTAATTTATAATTTTCGTCTACACATTAAGTAAAAGTAAATTCTCTTGAAAGGAGGTCGATATATATTTCGAAACGTGTAAGTAGCTTAATGGCTGAGTGATCATCCTTTTTCTAATTGAAACTTAATTAGCCACTAAAAGCAATATTTCTCCACTAAAACCCCATATGCCTGTTGAACGAGATTGGTAAATTATTCGCGAGGATAACTATCCTTCTGGATACTATCCAGACTGGCAACTGCCAGTCCCGATAGCCAGTTTGGGTTCCGACGGTACCGTTCTACTTTAGATGCGATTATGTGCGTCTACTCCCTGTCGGAACAAGCAGTATGTCAGGGTGGCGTGACGTTGGCGACAAGTCTTGACATCGTCAACGCGCTTAACTCCCCACCCTGGGATGCAATCAGGAGAGCACTGGCACACCATCAGGTGCCCCCTTACCTGCAAGGCATTAACGGGGACTACTTGCGCGACAGGTACATCCTGTGTACATGGGGCAAGATGGCAGGAAGATCCGGAGGGAGATAAAACGTGGGGTTCCACATGGCTCAGTGCTGGGGCCGCCCCTGTGGAACCTCACCTATGATGCGGTTCTGCGAATCGATCTTCCCGCTGGCGTCGATATTGTCTGCTATGCTGACGACACATTGGTGATCGCCTGCGGGGTCACTTTCGAGAGGGCCAAAGAGCTCGCCAAACTCGGGGCGGAAGTCGTCGCCACCAGAATCCACGAGTTGGGATTAGGAATAGCGCCGTACAAGACCTATGGTTCCATAAATTACCAAGGGGCAGGGACGACTCGTGTGTCCGCGTTTGTGGGTCTGAAGGCAGAGTGGGGAGGTACATAAAGTACCTAGGCCTCCACCTCAACAGCCGCTGGGGCTTCGAATAACATTTCAAGCGTCTAGTCCCCCGGACCGAAAGGGTAGCGGGTGGTATGCATAGACTGCTGCCCAATCTAGGGGGACCGACGGAGGAGGTACGTCACCTCTATGCGGGAGTTATACAATCCGTAGCTCTGTATGGAGCGCCTGTATGGGCAAAAAGGCTGGTCATCCGACGCTGTAGAACTAAAATCTAGTGTCCAGCGGAGGATGGTCATACGGATCGTACGAGGATACCGCACTATATCCTTTGAGGCGGCGACAATCCTGGCTCGCTTTCCACCACTAGATGTACTGGCAGAAATGGATGCGAGGGTGTACATCCAAATCCGTGCCCTCCGCCAAAGCGGTGGTAGTGAGCCAGAAGAGGCGCTCGAATAAATTAAACGGCAGGAACGACAAAACGCTCCGGCGTCATGGTGCTCTCGACTCGAGGAGTGCAAACGCTTCATTGGAGCAATCCTGCCGGTCTTCGAAGCTTGGATACAGCGACGAGCAGGAGGACTCATCTACAGACTTACACAGATAATTACCGGATAAAAAAATAAAATATAGTTTCTGTCACGGTAATTACTTTTTTACTGTTACAAAGTTTTAAAATGTTTTTTCGACAATAATTATCAAACGGTTTACTGACTAAGGACTAACATAAAATTAGTGTTCTCTAGACAAATTTTTTGTCATGAAATATTTTTTTCTGTTGGATCTCGGCACCGGTAGGGAATATTTTGGACATATATTTAAATTTTGTAGTAATATATGTGTTTCTTCCTATTTTTTTTAATGTGCTATGTAGTTTGATATATGTACTAATTAACAAAATTAATATGAATATACATGGCCAAATAATTCTATATGTTTAAGTTCGGCACAATATTTTGCACGTTTTGAAGAACTATCCAACTAGTGACACTATTTTCTGCACCATAGATATAGTGGAGTATATACTATATTTCTATGTTCTGCACGGTAGCACTGTTAATCTTTTTTTTTTCCATTTCTTGGCCTGCACGGTTTGAGCGTCAGCCAGTGTTAATCTTTGCTACCGTCAAAGCAGTAATTGTCCTATACAGGAAGATTTTTTTTTAAAACTGGCTTTACAGATCTGGGTTCTAGCCCCTCTAAGCCTGCTATACAGGAAGAGGAACGTCAAACGTGGTAAAACGTCAAAATCAAAAGTCAAAACAAAAGTGTTTAGTGTTACTTTATTCACTTCACGGATAAAAAATAGAATTTCAACAAAGTATTTATTTGATTACCAACGAAATGAGCACATTAGACGAAATAGAAGAAGAAGCAAAAGCGACAGCTGAAAAAATGGTTATGAATATGATGCAAAGACCTGGTCAACTAGAAAAAGTAATCGAATTAATAATTGTTACCTTTATTTTTGTTCTAATTTACTATTAAATAATACAAATTTTATCTACTGTTAAGAAAGGCAAAAGAATCCCCTTTACATTACTTCTTTTCACTTCCTCAGATTAATACTGCTTATTAATAACATAATTTCTGCCCGTGTACGGGGTGAATCTGAAAGTTCTTAGAAAAATAAAAAACTGAACAAACTAGCAAGTTATTAGTATTATTATATCTTTTCAAAATAGTGTCCATTTACATCAATACATTGCTGTATCTGATGGAACCACTGAGAAAAGCACTTTGCCCACTCGTCCTTGGGGTCTCTTCAACGACATTTCGAAACACAGCCACTGCTCCCTCGGCGTCCATAAAACGTTTTCCTAGAAGTTTTTATTTTATTTTCGGAAATAAATCAAAATCGCAAGGTGCGTAGTTGGGGCTATAGGGTGGGTGACCCAGTAATTCCATGTCTGATGTTACCAAGTAGTTGATTGTTTTCTTGGCGGTGTGCAACGAGGTGTCGTGGTGGTGAAGGAGGATCCTACTGTGAGGTTGTTTCTCCCGAACTTTTTCTAAGACAAGTGGCAAACAATTGTAAGTGTACCACTCTGCAGTAACTGTTTTTTGATCCTCTAAAACAATTGTTACGTAATGATCTGTCCTTCCGAAAAACGAGGGCACCATTTTTTTCCCATGATTCTACCTTTCTTCACGCTGTAAATATCTTGCAGAAATAAATTTTTATTACAAGAAATACAAAATACAATTATACTAAAGCTGCCTTTGCTGGCTGAATCATTAACTTTATAGAAAAGTAATTTAAAAACTTCTAAAAAATATCTATACATAAAAATCAATTGCTGTCCATTATAACTCGAAACTGGCTTGCCGAAACTCGAAACTGGCTCAAAAGATTCTGATGAAATTTTTGTGTGGTCTCTGGATGGGTTATAATTAGAAAATTAGACCCGGTAGGTGGAGCTATTGTCGAGATCAAGAAATCACCTGTGCAAAGCACTGGGGGATCGCAAGTAATTTATATAAATTATTTTTATGTTGGGCTTAGTCCTTATATAATTTAGGTTTTTTCTTAAAATTCTATATCGCTTCATCTATATATACTAATTAGGCAATAATAATTAATAAATTTTTTGAAAAGGGAATATATACCTCATAAATGCCTTAGGTTTCACTCAACTTTAACGTACCATAATTTTGGATCATTAATAATAAATAATAATATTAATAGCCTTTATTCTGATAATTTTTATAAAAAAGATTAATATTACAGGTTAAAGCTACATTAGTTAAATATGATTTTAATTTTCTATTCAACTTCTGTTTTCAATTGTCCTCCTGCCTATTAGCCTTTCTTTAGCAAAGGCCTCCTTCAATTGTCTCCAAAAATCTCTGTTCCTAGCTATTCTGGCTGTGTTGTTGGCTACTGATTGGATGTCATCAATCCATTGCCTGGAGACCGTCACTTGATGGTGAGAAGATTATTAAATCATCCACGAACCTCAGGTGCGATAGATTCTCACCGTTAATTTGTGGTCCACTTCATCCCAATCTAATTGTCAAACACATGCTCCAGTACCGCTGTGAAGATTTTAGGTGACAGGGGTGATCACCCTGATGCACTTCTCTTTCTATAATTCTTTTCCATCTTTCTCTTATTTGATAAAATCAGCTTTACTATTTTTGTAGATATTTCTCAGTATTCTGATGTATTTATGTTCAACACCTAGGTCCTTAAGTGTTTGCCAAACCATCTCGTGTTCTAGAGAGTCAAAGGCCTTAACAATGATCTACAAAGAAGCAGTAGAAGGTAATATTGTATTCTTTGCCTTTTTCAAACAGTTGCTTGACAATGAATATGATCTAATGTTAAATATCCACTGGAATGACTATATTAAATGTAAAAAAATAAAGGTTTGAACAAAATGGTGGATATTAAGTATCCCTCATAATAGGATAAAGAAACTTTTGTTTCCAATAGATTTATTTAAATAAATACATATAAAGATACTTATTAATTATGTAGGTATTTATTGCAAGTTATTTATTAGCAATAAATACCTAATAATTATGATATCTACCTGTGTGGCTAACAGTATATTGTAGATATAATTATGATTAATATATCTCATCATCATTACAGCCCTCCACAAGTCCACTGCTTAACATATGTATTCCCCAATAATATATCTAAAAAGTATTTATTATAAAGTTCATTATTCTTGATTTTGTTTATTTATCCATAAGCTACTATAATCAAATGTAGGTTTGAGGTACAATGCGGGAAAGAAGTGTGAAATAAGTGCATGCATGCTAAGTGTGGAGCAGTTGTAACAAGATTAAATTCTAATCACTGAGGCAAAACAAACTACTAGTTATATACGAGTAACATGAAGTAGCTGGGAAGTTACTTTAGCTGTGTCTTTACTATAATGAACACATGGTGTAGTTCACCCTCAAGTGTTGTTTATGATTATCATTAAGTTTTGTGTACCCTGTGCATTCGAGGGCACTGTGTAACCTTGTAGTAATGTTTGTGAATACCAGTGAACTTTTTGGTTAATCAACAAATTCTTGCCAAAGTTGATAAAACATAATAATGTTATTTTTTTGTAATTTTTGTTTTTAGGTAGAACAGTATAAGAAAAGAATAACCCATAAGAAAGCATCCATTGAGGCCCAATTGAAGTCAGCGGTTCAAGGCAAGTTAGATGGGGTCAGTGTGGGTCTCAAGCAGCTGCAAGAATGCCTTGATGATGTTCAACAAATCAGCTTAATGTATGCCGATTTTATAATTTGACAATTTAAATTTTAATATCGAAGTAATATCGAAGTTTATTGGGTGTTTATTAGGAGTTTTGGTAGATCAAGAGTTTTTAATGATTGATGAAGCGCTTTTGGTATTACACCAGTTGTAGAGAGGACTATAGGTACTATAATGGCATTATGTAAGCACCACATTCCAATCATTTCTTGTTTTAAATCAATGTATTTAGAATTTTTTTCATTAATTGTTACTTACTTACTTACTTATCTTCACGCACAATCCCTGACGGGGTAGCCAGAGAGAACAGATCGCCAAGTGTCACGATCCTTACATATCTCTTTCGCTTCTTTCAGATTCATTATCTTCTTCATACATGCACGTCTAGGTATCCGAGTACTCTTGACCCTACCCTCTTCGAGCAATTTGCTCACATGGTCTTCGAAAGTTAGTCTCGGTCTACCTCGACACCTTTTAATATTAACTTTCGCGCTATATATTTTCTTCACCATTCGGTCTTCACTCATTCGCTCAACGTGCCCAAACCACCGAAGCACGCCCTTATCAATTTTTGTGATAAGGTCATCTTTCAAACCTGCCATATTGCGAATCTCTTCGTTTCGCTTTCGGTCGGCCATAGTAACGCCGCACATTTTACGAAGAGATCGCATCTCCACTGCATTCAACTTACTTTTATGCTTCTTCTGGCATACCCAGGTTTCGCTGCCATATAACAAAGTCGGTACCAACACTGCGTTATGTATTGCAAGGCGTGCACTCTTCGCTACGCCTTGCCTTTTGACTAACGCAGTCAGGGCACCATTGACTTTGTTCCCGGCAGCGACACGCCTGTCCACATCTAAATCACATCTTCCATCCCGGCTAAAAGCACTCCCCAAGTATACAATTTCATTTACCTGTTCTAGACATTCCTGATTTACCCATATTTCACACTTCGTTCTCTCTTCGTCCCTTTCAAATATTCATTAATTGTAGTCTGTAAGTTATGTGAATTAGGTATAGCAATGTCAATAATAAGAGCACATTTATTCACTTTGTCTATTAATGTTATATCCGGTCTATTTTAGTGTATTGTTTTGTCAATAAGTATAGCTCTGTCAAAATACATTTTGTGAGTGGTATTTTCAAGGACTATTTCAGGTTTATATTTATAGTATACTTGAGTAGGCTGGTCAGTTAGTCTAGTTTCCACTTAAGGGCAAGTTTTTGGTGAATAATATTGACTACTTGATCATGCCGATACTTATAATCCGTCTGAACGATCACTTTACAAGCACCAGTGATATGTTGGTTTGTTTCAGAAGCATTAAAACAACATCTACATGTGTCGGCGTGTAGATTTTTTATTTTAATGATGTGCTTTTGATAATTACGTGTTTCTATGACTTGTTCCTGAATTGCGCACATAAAACCCTCAGTCGCAGGGAAAAGCTCACCACGTTGAAGCCATGCGTTCGATGCTAATTTGTCTACGGTAGGTTGGTTCAACTCTTGGCGATATCTTCCATGTAGAGACTTTTGAGTCCATATATCAATTTTTTTGTTATTATCTGTAAGTACCTCATTTTTTTGCAATGTTTTATCATACATATTAAGCGGTGTCAATTTATGATCGTTCTGTATTATAGCATTGTGTAGTGTTGTTATTTGTCTGTTATGTAAGTTAACTATGTCTATTACACCTCTTCCTCCTTCATTTTGTGGTAATGTTAGTCTTTGTATGCACGATCTTGAATGGTGTTTACGGTGCTTCGTAAGAGATGTATTTATTGTGCGTTGTAGTTGTTTCAGTTCAGTTTTGGACCTATTATTATTATTATTATCTGGTAATAGGCGAGCAGCTTATAGCTGATATGCCTATATCAGTGTTGGTGTCTTATATTAGTCCAAGTTCACACTAAAGAATACACTAAATTGGATTGTCTTTACACCATTTGTCCAGTTTGTTTTTAAAACTAATCACAGAGGGAGCATCTACCACGTCTTGAGCCAACTTGTTTCATATATTTATAATTCTGTTGTTTAGTGTGTGATGTCCCTCATTAGTGTATGAGCGGGTGTGGTCAATCTCATATAGTTAGAATGTCTAGTTCGGTGGATACTGCTGATGTTAAAAGTATGTGGCAGCTCTTTGCAATTATATTTATGTGTCAATATTTTGTAGGTCTCAATAAGGTCTCCTCTGGTGTGGCGAGATTTCAGCGTTGTTAGATTCAATATTTTTAATCTCTTCGTACAGCTTTTTGCAAAGGCATAATGGAATTTTTGTGGCTTTTCTTTGTACACTCTCCAGCAAATCTACATCCTTAAGAAAATAGGGGTTCCAAATTTGAAATCCATACTCTATCAGCGGTCGGACGTATGTTTTATAAACCTTGAACAATGTATCTGGAGTCAGATGTTTAAACGATCGTCTGATTGCATACAAAATGCTGTTTGCCTTTTTGACAGTACTATGGATATGGTCAGCCCACTTGAGGTCGGATGATATTAAGACACCTAAACCCTTGTGTGAATTAACTGACTGTACTGTTGAATTTCCAATTTTATACATTTCTCTGGGATTGTTTCGACCTAAATGCAAAACTGTGCACTGAGAAGGATTAAGTCTTATAACCCAATTTTTTGTCCACTCCTGTATACGCTCTTAAGTCTTCTCTTAAGGTTCCTTGGTTCAATAAAGGATTTCCGAAGTATTTCTATATTTATTTGAAAGATAATATTAATGAGTTTATCTTTATGTGTGTCACCTTATAACTTTTTTCTAGATGAAACGATTTTGATGATTCGTTTTTTATTTGAAAGCTGGTGCTTCTCGTGTAGTCCCATATAAATTTGATAAAGGTCTGACAAGTAGTTTTCGAGTTATCTTTAATAATTTATATTGAAGCTGGTTGTACAAAATTTTTAATTTTACCACTTGTTTGTCTAGGAGTCTGAGTAGTTGCATCATCTTACCTATTTCTGTCGACAAATAGCAGGTATAGAGAGCTAGTATAAATTCAGGGGGTGAGGCGATCCATTTTAATCCACAGAAGTTTAAGTAAATAAAATGGACTCATGCTGCAGGAGATATTATGGTGAATATGGTGCCATGAGTCTATACTATGCAAACTGGTATTAAACTGCTCACGTCCTAAGGTATCATGTTCTTAACAACAGTTTTTTTTCTTCAAAACATTTAGTTTGCTTAGTAATATGCAATGATATTTTACGACATGGAAAATATTCCAAACTCTGTAAATCACTTCACTTGTTTAACATGTAACTGTAGGCTGGAATGCAGTAACAGGCTGGTACAAAAATATTACAAGTGGAACTGAAAACTTGTGTTTTTCAATAAATTTCCCTCAACACTCTCCAAACTTGATGCAAACTTCTTTGCTTTTTGTCCAATAACTGATGTTGATGTGAGTAAACTACACTTTTTTTAAATTTATTATTATGAATGTATATTCTAACACTTATTTAATTTTGCCAAACTGTAAGCCAGTTTGTCGGCAATTTATTGTTATACTCTTCTTTTAAAAAAATGTATTGCTATACTCTTCTTTTCAGCCACATTTACTTATTGCTCACATTAGCTGTTCCCCGCGACTTCGCCCGCGTGAAATTATTTTGCTAGCGGATTCCTAAAATAAAAGTAGCCCAAGTCAGTCCTTAATCCTTATAACATCAGCTATCTGTCAGTGCAAGTCCCATCCAAATCGGTTCACATGTTTTTGCGTGATGCATGTTAGAGTTGGTAGAGCCATGCTGCAGCTATATTAGTAGTATAGTTGTAGCACCAATGGGTCGGCTCGACCGGGGAAGGACCACGCTCTCACAGAATACCAGCGTAAAATAGCAGCTTAAAACTGCTGTGTTTCGTATGGTGAGTGTAGAGAACTGGAGACCCTTTTTACTGGAAAAGAGGCATTCCATCTTAGTCCTCACGGGTGACAACGCATCTGCATTTTGATTTGCAAGTGAGGATAGATGTAGATGTCTATGGGCCACAGCAACCACTTACCATCAGGTGGACTGTGTGCTCGTTTGTCACCCTATCCTATAAAAAAAATTATCGTTATATTTTGGCCAATTTACACAATATCTTTATTAATGATAGCTTATGTGTTATTTTGAAGTATGGGCTTATATAATTGTAAAGCTTTATTAAAATCTATTTAGTAGTTTTTGCGTGAAAAAGTAACAAACATCCATACATCTTCACACACTTTCACGTTTATTATAATATTAGTAAGATTATCAACTTTCCTTTTTATCAGCCGACTTCAAAAGGAGGATGTTCATAATTAGACTTAAGATTTAAGGGTGTCCGCTGAGTTAACACATGATCATACAAATCAATGTAGCACTGGCCCGTTGCGTTATGCGGTATCCTGCATAACGCGAGGCACACGCAGCGAGCCCTAGCCGGGGGATCCCCGTTTAACGCGGCGTCAGTATCAGTACTGCTAGTACGTGCGCGTGTCCAGTCGTGCAGTGATTTATTATTTGAAATTTTTGTTAACAAGATTCAAAATATTGCCATAAAATGTGCTGTGTGGCAAGTCAAGATAATATTAATAAGTTTATTTTTTATTTTATAGAATAGGGTGACAAACAAGCACACAGTCCACCTGATGGTAAGTGGTTGCTGTGGCCCATAGACATCTACTTTTATCCTCGTTTGCGAATCAAAATGCAGATGCGTTGTCACCCGTGAGGATTAAGATGGAATGCCTCTTTTCCAGTAAAAAGGGTCTCCGGTTCTCTACTCTCACCATACGAAACACAGCAGTGTTAAGCTGCTATTTGACGCTGGTATTCTGTGAGAGCGTGGTCCTTCCCCGGTCGAGCCGACCCATTCGTGCTACAACTATACTACTGATATAGCTGCAGCATGGCTCTACCACGTACATTAATAAGTTTATTTTAGAATAGTAATTATTGACAATTTATGGAATATTTATAAAACTGGGATAACGATAGACCAATTCCATCTTATAACTGGTATTACTTTTATACGTGGTAGAGCCATGCTGCAGCTATCAGTTGTATAGTTGTAGCATGAATGGGTCGGCTCGACCGGGGAAGGACCACGCTCTCACAGAATACCAACGTAAAATAGCAGCTTAACGCTGCTGTGTTTCGTATGGTGAGTGTAGCGAACCAGAAACCCTTTTTACTGGAAACGAGGCATTCCATCTTAGTCCTCACGGGTGACAACGCATCTGCATTTTGATTCGTCATCGAAGATAGATGTAGATGTCTATGGGCAACAGTAACCACTTACCATCAGGTGGACTGTGTGCTCGTTTGTCACCTAAAATAATTTTATTTCTGAACCAACTCTATAATTGGTTCATGGGATCTTAACAGTTGTTATTTCATACACATTAAACTAAGATGTATAATTATTGCATATTATTATTATATATTTGAATGTTATCTCAGATCAAGCAATACCTATTTGGAAGAACGTTATACGTGTTAATGTGTGTTAATTTTTTGTCTTGCACATCCAAAGAATAATTGATAATATCGTATATCGACCAATTAATTTTGACCCCACACAGGTATCAAACCCTAAGATCTTACATAAAGTTTGATTAAGCATATTTTAAATTAAAATTTCCAAAAAAGCTTAACTGGTTTGTAGTAACTAAGGACACGACATACTTTTTGAAAATATGTGGGAAGTTGAAAGGGTGGACATAGCGAATCACCATCACATCCCGCGCCTTTTTATTTATTTAGTCTTTAGTCTTAGTGGGTTTTTTATAGAAAACAAATAGCTAAAATAAATTTTCCAGCCTTAGAGATAATTTTTTTCTTAATATTTATGTGGGAACACCCCTTAAGTATAATGTACTTAATAGAAACATTTACATCGGTTCAGGTGTTTCCGAGAAATCGCTGAACATACATAAAAAACCTACCTTCTCGTTTTTGCCGGACACGGTTATAAAAAAAAAGTTTTACTTAAAAAATTATGTCAGTATTCAGGTGTAACATAGTTGATTATATTTTAGAATGGATGAACTTGAAGAGCATTTCAAAAGTGTTCCACCCCTCGTAGCGTCCCTGCAAGCGGTCCGAGAAGAAGACTCGCGCCATTCTCAATACGTTACAGCTATGGATAGCTTAAAACATATATTTACTGTGCCCGAAAGTGTTGCCAAAACAAAACAATGGATCGGTGAAGGAAAACTATTGCACGCTCATCAGGTAACTTACCTAATACATTTATGGAAGTTTCGATATTTGTATGACTGACATGAAACTCATAATTTACATGAATCCATTAAATTTATTATTACATTAACCGCAGTAAAGTGTAATGTTATTTATATGAAACAGTTGAGTAAGTTCAATTGCCTATATTAGACAAAAAAATAACATAACATAAACACTCACGCCTGTCACCCAGAGGGGTAAGCAGAGATTATGGACTTCCATTTGGCACGATCCTGACACACCTCTCTCGCTTCCTCCACATCCATATACCTACGCATACACGCTCGTCGGTTAAAGGTACTCTTGATTTGGCCCGTTTTTAATATATCGCCAATTTGGTCGATAAACTTTCGCCTAGGGCGACCCTTCCCGACTATGCCGTTCACCTATGCAACATAAATTTGTTTTGTCAATCTTTCCTCATTCATTCTTTCTACATGGCCAAACCACCGAAGCATTCCTTTCTTAAAAGAAAAAAAATATTAAGTAATATATTATGCATTTATATTTCAGTGCCTTACTGATTTAGAAAATTCAAGAGATGATTTATTATATGAACTGCATAGATTACCAAATCAGTCATCACATGACAAAATAATGTTGAAAGCATATTTTGAAGACGTGGAAATGGTGTCAAATTTATTAGAGAAACAAATTAAGCTTATTTTGGCTAGAACACTAAACACAGTACGCAAGGAACCAACTGTTATAGTAACAGCATTAAGAATTATTGAAAGAGAAGAGAAAAAGGATCAAATGGCACTGCAGGTTTGTAAGGTTTAGGCCGGCCACATACATACGGAATTCCGTTTTAGGGTTCCGTTTCGGAATTCCGAACGAGCCGGCCACACACATACGAAATCCCGTTTTTGGAACGCCGAATCGGAATTCCGAAACGGGATCCCGAAACGGAATTCTTTATGTATGAGGCGGACTTTATAATATGTTGCATTGAATTTGATTTTACACAATTATATTTTACTGTGTAGCGGGTGTAACACAATATATTCACTACCAGGACTGTCCTGTGGGTGTAGTAAGAAGAAACAAAAGAGGACATTAGCAGCACACTGTTGCCCATCTCCTTATTTGTTTTGTATTTTCTTGACAACAATTAGAAAAATAAAAAACTGTGGCTACTAACCTGTCTGTCAAGCGTGGCAACTATGGCAAATATCTCCCTTATGAGATAATCCATGGGGGATGCCTATTTTCAGCAGTGTAGTTTGATAGGATGATTAATGATATAGTATTATAAAACATGAAATTTGTACGTTTAGTTCTATTTATTCAACGCAGTCTGTTATGCTGATGTACAGACAAAAATATATTTTTAATCTCAATCACTTTTTTCTCTTTAAATACAATACATACTGATAAAAATATTTGTCATATTATTAGCAACAAAACCAGTCAGGTTTTATGCCACCAGGCAGACCGAAAAATTGGAGATCGAAGGCTTTCGAAGTATTAGAATGTGCTGTGGCTCAACGGATTGAAGGTACACGTGTGGATGAACGGGAGGACAACAAATTGTGGCTAATTAGATACCTTGAGCTAACACGACAATTAATATTAGAAGATCTAAGAGTCGTGAAGACCCTGTGTGTGCCTTGTTTTCCTCCACACTACGACATCGTCAACAAATACGTCAACATGTATCATACATGTTTGTCTTCAAGTGTAAGTTCTTTTTTGTTTCGGAAATTTATGATATTTTATTATAGTACAAGTAATTGTAACCTACATATATAAAGGTATAAACCACATAATAAATAATAGTACAGCGTACAGAAGTTGCACTCTTTTGATGTTGACTGCTTGCCGACGTTTTAATAGCCTACATAATTATTATTAATTAGATAAATCAAGCACACAAGCTAAATAAAACTTTATCGCTGCTCGCGAGTGTCCGTATTATTTTGTTTTTTCCCCTTTCTACGCCACGGCGGACTTTCCGTGGTTATTTTGGGCTGTTAATACAGAATAAAAATACATATGAAGAAAATTTAACACGTACGTTGATTTTGTATGTGGTCACGATAACTCTCGAAAAAATTGACCTATCGAGACCGGTTTTTTTTTATTAGCTTCAGCATTACATCAACTGATTTCCTATTTCATATCAATAGCCTAGTATGCGTAGTTTGTTAATAAAATAATTTTTAAATTTTATAAATTTTATTGCTATTAAAAATTTAAAGGCGCTTTCATTTTCTTCTTTAGCCCTTGATAAACAAAAGACAAATGCATCATACAGCCTATATCGATTTTATACTTTGTGTAATCTATTTATTTTGGTAATTTATTTTTTCATCAAAATTAAATGAAACTCTCATGAGGAGTACACTTTTGGATTTTCCAAACTATTTAGTTAGTGGTGCCACTTTCACACCAATGCCAGCTTAAGTCATCCGAGCAATTTTAAAGGATTATTTCCTAAATTGACTTGAACGAGAGTCGAACCCAGACCTCTCATTTGACGTGCAGAGTGTATGACCGTAACGCCACCGAAATACTCATAATATGTTTATGTGGTTGTTTGTTGTTGAACCTAGTGAGAAGTAATGATTTACTATATTTACGCGAATACTACACAACACATTGCTTAACACTAATTTTACGGATTTTACTTTTTTTTACATTTAAATCCCCTAATATTCGCTGTCGTAGTAGTGACGTACTCGTATTTCGATTATTACTAAAAGAAACCTTAAGAATTTCGTGAAAAACGGTATTTCATGGTAGTAGCCGGTTTAGGCAGTCAAAATCGGTTTTGCACAGTGCACTTTTAATTTACACAATAACAATTTAATTTGTTATAAATAAATAAAAACCGCTTTTATATAAAATCTTCTATTATCTATTAATTTTACATAAGAAAGTTCGAATCGCTATGTATATCCTTTAACACTCATATTTTGTAGTAAAATGGTATTGAAGTAAAATATTATAGATACACTTCTTTTTTAATATAATGTAGAATGAGATTTATTTTATAGCTTCAAGATCTTGTACAAAATGGTCTGGAGGGCAATGAATATGTGACTCTTTTATCGTGGATCCTTAACACCTACCCTGGGCACGAGCTGATGTCCAGCGAGGAACTCAACATCGACGTGACGACACTGCCCCCACTGCTAAGTGAAGAAAGTATGCTGAGACTGGAAAAAGAATATTTGCAAGTTAGTACTTATATAAATATACAATTTCGTGTGGCATTTTAACTGTCCTAGTAAACATTTCAGGTTTGTTTTAACAAACAAGAAATATATTTGTGCATTTATAGGAACTGTCTTTGACACTATATTTAATTCAATTCTCTTTTCTCCTCAATCGTATCGCACAAACGTCACATAAGATAAGATACATTTACATTACAGACCTTGGTATTTTAATACTTTTTGCTTGACTGGTAATTTCTTTATAATGATGTGGCTATCCGAATACCGTTAGCTCTCGACTGAATACGGAAAAATATTCTCTTTCCGAAAGAAGCCCATTTTCACAACTTAACGAAAATAGAAAACTAATCGTATCACGTCCATATTGTTTAATGTGGGCCAAAAGAAATTGGTTATCATCGATTTTGTAGCACTCGCCGTTGACGGGGATGGCCTCACCAACGTCGTTTTCGAAAAAGTATAGATCAATGACGTTGCCGTCCCAAAATCCACACCAAACAGTAACATTTTGATGATGCATTGTAATCTAATGAACCTCGTGTGGCCCATATACGGAAATTTTGTTTATTAACATAGCTATTTATTCAAATATGCGCGACGATTTTTCGCCCAAAATTGGAGTCCTTTTCCAAACGCTCTGATTCTTAGTTAGCAAAGACACTGCGTGGTTTGTGTTCATTAACTTTAAGGTCCTGGGTCAGTTGGATCTTGTACAGGTGCAGTCTCAAATCCCGACGCAAAATCCGCCAAGTTGTAGTCTGCGAAAGCCCGAATTCTTGTGCACGGCGTACAATTTACTGCCTCGGGTTTTCTTGCACACTTTCACGGGCAACGGTAATGTCCTCGGCCGATCTGGCGTTCCTTTGACGTACTGGTGTTAGCTGATTGTTTACCGAACTGGTCGTTTCGAATTTGTCCACCAAACGTTGCAGAAGCGACGTTGAAGGGCCACCGCGTCTGCCGTAAATTGAGCGTAACGAGCACCCATTTTTATAATATTTTTTTATCATTTGGACGCGTTGCTCGTGTAACTTGCCATGATGATTTGGCATCAGTAATGAAATAATAAACAATAGATTTAAGATGTTGCCAAAACAACATGTCCGACACAGCCTGTCAACATCGACCCGTCCCTATTTGAAAACTCTGTAGATGAACTAGAGAATTAGATGAGCGAACTAGTGCGCGGCCTCCAAGGATTCAGATCGATCCGCTTGCCCAATAGTAGCCAGGTTCTCAGGCCACACAGTAGTCAATTTCGTTAATTCTGTTCTGTTCACTATAGCTCCTCTGGGATATTTTTTGTTAAGTGCACCTGAGGTTGGTATTTACTAAAAAAAGTTGTGAAATCTTACCTTATCACACACGAAAAATTCTGAAAGATCATACTTTTACACAATAAGAAAACTCGGATTGATAGCGTTTGTAGCATGATCATCACGATTTTATTTGCCGGTGCCAGAAAATGGAGTCTAACTACATGGAGTGGATGGAGAAGACGCTCGAGTCGGAGCGCGCGGAGTGGGGAGGCGAGCGCGCGCCCGACGTCGAGCCGCACACCAACGCGTTCCACACGCATGCGCCCGTCATCATATTCCAGATGATCGACCAGAATCTGCAGGTCTCCAGGATTTTGTTGTGCTAGCTTATCGACATAAAAGTAAACTCTTCTTATATTTCTGATTTATTAAAGTTTAAAATCCAATTTTTTTATGCACCTCCTTTTTAAAAAACTGTTCTCGTCTATGAGTGTTTACGTTTTGGCTTCAAAATCTTAAATGCCCATTTTAAAATAAAAAAATCACAATACATTTTTTTTCTATAAGCCAGTGCTTAAGAAGGAAGATGAATCTGAAATCACAGTGTTGTTAGTGTTTGTTTCAAGGGCTCACATATACCATAAATAATATGTCTTCAACCTCTACTAGCATATATAGTTCCTGTTTTTTCTTGCATACTCAATATATTTTTAACTATAAATAGAAATAGTACCATGTTTAAAAAACACAATTTTCAGCATTACATTTATTTTATACCATTAAGTAAGAGCTTGATTTTTATTTTGGTATTGCTGTTTAACATCTATATAATTCTGTTCAGGTAACTGAAACTATAAGCAAGGATATTACCTTCAAAGCGTTATTGCTGAGTATAGATCAAGTTACTCGCTATGGCAATATGTATCGCGAAGGAGTCATTCAATTTAAGGTAATTATATATTTTTATTTGCTGTGTTGTGGCGGCGTAAGAGTCTAACACCCCATATCATCCTGTAGGGTCATAATAGTCGACAAAAACTGACACGAGATGGACAACATCAGTAATAAAATATTTGTATAAAAATTGTCAGCAATATCTGTAATGCATATTGCGTTTGCCAACCCGACTACCAAGCGAGGTAACTATTGAAAAATCCACCCTATAAACAATGTATGGAGAAGGACATGTTCAATAGTGAATATTTCATAGGCTGCAATGAACGAAAATTCATAAATGAATGATACATACTAGCGTAGAAGCTTATGTTACTGTGTTTCATATGGTGAGTGTAGAGAACCGGAGACCCTTTTTACTGGAAACGAGGCATTCCATCTTAGTCTTCAGAGGTCAAACAACGCAATTGCATTTTTTGATTCTTAACACAGCAACAGCAGCCGCTTACCATCAGGAGGATTGTGTGCTCATTTATCTCCCTTATTCTGTAAATAAATTTGTGAATGCGTGGAGCTTGTTTAACAAATATGTGGCGCCCAACCAAGTCGCATAAAATCGATTAAAACCTGGCTAAACATCATAAAGTCGCATATGGTCCGGCATGAATGTGCATGTTTGGTGCAGAACTCGCACTTCGCGGACCGGTCGCGCGTGGCGTACTTCACGCACCACATGATCACGATCGTGAACAACAGCGAGCAGATGGCGCGGCTGGCGCAGCAGACGCAGGCGCGCCACTGGCCTCCCGGCCGCCACGACCCGCCCGCCGAGGCCAAGTTTGACGCCATGCTGGCCACCTTCCAGGTGCGTACCCGTCAGCCCGTCACCCGCTGCCTGCCATCCGCCACCTGCTACCCTTTACCCGCCACCCGCTACCCGACAATCAACACTTGCCACCCGTTATCCGCTACCCGCTACCCGCTATCTGATACCCGCCACCCGCTATCTGATACCCGCCACCCGCTATCTGATACTCGCCACCCGCTATCTGATACCCGCCACCCGCCACGTTCTTATTAATTCGTTGTCGTGTATGTCTGTTCGGGTCGAATTTAGTAATTGTTTTTTTAACTATCTACCCGATGAGCTAGAGACTTGAAATTATGAACATAAGTCAGAACCGGATCAAAATGTAAGAATAATTATGAAAAAATATATACACATAAACTTTTCTTAGACCATTTAACCCTATGGATGCGCCTCGCATGATTATTACCCTCTGCAAAAATTTCTGATTTAAAAATCTTGTGCGTTTATAAAAACTGTTTATGGAATCGATTTTATCATTAAAAGAATCGTTTCCACCGAAGTTAACGTGTGTGTGTCGATAACGAACGAGTGTGTGCGGTTAACGTGTGCATAAAGCAGTCTAATATTTAAATTTTACAAAAAGATAGAGTTACGTACAGTTAAAATCTTTTAAAATAATATCATAAATAATAATCGAAAACTTTACCGATTAGGTAATCGAGTACGTAATATTTTATAAAAATCGTAGTGATAATCGGGATGTCACAACCGTACAAACCGTCAAAAGATTAATTTAAGTGACTTTTCTGAAATTTGATATTATTTAAAATTGGATTAATGTTATAATCCACCCTACCACTAGGGTTAACTTTTAGGCTTTTTCAAAATTGATGTGTAATGTGATTGCGGATCGATATCGATATCGATATTTTTTTATTACTCATTGAAGAAGCATTAAAATTCAATTAATTAATTTAATCACTCAACTTAAAAAGAAAAAAATTGAAGTGTCTGTTTGTAATATTAAAATAACAGCTTTTTACTAAATGCATATTAAAGTACATGTGGTACTAATAACAAAAAACAATTTCAAACATTTTTGTCTGTCCGTCTGTCTGTCTGTCTGTCTATTTGTTCCGGCTAATCTCCGAAACGGCTGGACCGATTTTGACGGGACTTTCACTGGCAAATAGTTGGCGTAAAAGTGTAAATGAACAATTTCTATCCTTGGATAAAATAAATTCAACACAAAAAATCAAACTATTGATATGTCTATATTAAAACTTCCTTTAATTATATTTATAATATATATGCAATTATTTTATTTGTTAACTAAATGATTTCGTTCACGTGGATTAAGGGTTTTTTAATTTTCTCGCATAAAATATTATATATAAAGTTATGTGTTAATACATATATATTCGCGCATCATATCGGAACTACTAGTTGAAGCTAGTAGTTGTAGATCGTGATAAAATTAACAAAAAAGTAAGTGGGAAGTAAGTCTAAAAAAGTTGGAGAAAAAAGATATACTTAAAAATAACCTAAAAGTAGTAGTAGTAATTAATCTAAAATTATTATTCAAAAATACCTATTATGGGTAGATGTTACTGCTCCATTGTATCTGAATATTATGTATATTAATAAGTACATAGTACAGCTTCTTTATCTGTCTAGCCAGACACATTAGGTGACATGAAGTCCTAAGATTTATTCCATAGTCAAATATTACAATGGTATTGTTAATACGCGTTCATAATCAAACTCTTACAGATAATTATTTATGTTGCCTTAACCTAATTACTGCTTGCTAGAAGAGAGATGTAAAAGGTTGACCAGCTGTGGGACAATTTAGATTATTAAAGAAAAGGGAAACAACTGACAACGGTGAAAGCAATATCAATAGTGTTACGAGCTTGGGGTTCGAGACAATTAAAAACTGCTGAATGAATTACCAAAATTGACACTTTAATTACAGAACTCTAATTACAACTTAAAACCACACTAATAACAAAACACAATTGTAATACAGATTACTCTAGTTCACAGTTGTATCGCTTTTAAGTATTCGCTTGTATCGCCAATTCAATACTGTCCCGGTCGTGGTCTATACCGGCCTTATATAGGGCCTTAGGTAGTTTCCAGAACTTTCTACTATAGAAACATCTAGAATGTTCGAGTACATATCGGTCCCGATATTTCTAGAAGGATCTTCACTCTCCTAGTTCTGTTACTCGATACTAGAGGGCGCTAGTGTAACTAGTGTTGCCATGTACAAGACATTAATAGTGGCGCGCAACAATATAATATAATGACAAGGGTCATTTCGAACAGAGTATACTATACAATCACTACGATTACTAGCGAATGACGTTCTCTTATTGCAAGAAGACCTATTTTTTTTATAAATTATAATAATTCTTTCTTGTGACTCCCGTATTCTAAAGCCCCAATAATTTTTATATAAACTTATAATTATAATTTACTTAAACTTGCATAAGCACGATGATTCGTTAATTTTAAAACATGTGGGTCCATTTTCGCCATTGTCCTTTGGCATTGTTTTTTGAGGCAACCCACTTCCACCAATTTTTGGCTTTGGTACTTAGAGCCTTTTTTATTTCTGGTGTTCACGTATAACCATGCAAAATTACAGCTCTTTAGAGTACAAATAGTCTCTACGCTAAGCCACGGACAGACGGCAGACTTGGTGAAACTATAGGGGTTCCTTGTTGTTTTATTACGGAACCCTAAAAAGACTTGTTGCGCTCACCATACTAAAGAGTTCAGATGATTTTAATTGTTCGAGTGCGTTTTGCTTATGCTTGTTTTTTTTTTCGCTCAGGGAAACTATCGATATAAAATATCGATATAGTAGCATCGCAATTAATTCGTCTGTCTTATGGCCCCTCTTCACGTTGGCCAACACAGTGGCGAATGTATTGGCAGAGTTATTGGCCAAGAAATTGTGATCGCGTCCACACGTTGGAAGATCGTTCAGTTTGCTTCGGTTCAGGCCAATGTGCGGACGAATTTATTAAAATGATTATTGATGCGCTAACGGCTGCTGCGGTTTGTTTATTCACAGCATACCACTATTTTTTTTTATTTAATTTTCACTATTTTTAATATTTAATATTTTAATATTTCTTTATTATACAGATAAGTAAACTATATAAACATTAACACACCTAGGCATAGGTATAATTAACTAAGGCCTGGAAAATATTCGAAGCCTGTCTATGAAACTGTCGTAAAATTTTTATTAAACAAAATCTTTTTAAAAAGGGTTATTATATAATTATAGAATATAGGTATTTATTTATTTACACTTTCATGCACAAAGTAGTACATATGGCGAACTTAATAATAATAATAAATAATTTATTTCGTCAAACATTAAAGTTACATTATATGATCAGTGATCGAGGTCACCTAGTAAGCAAAATAATGCCTGTAACAGGTGACTTCGCTCTTCCATAGCTAAAAATTACAGTATTATTAAGGATATAAAGTACCTAACTAATAGGGAATAATAAAGACAGTAAAAACATGATTTTAGTATCCTACTTTTTAATTTGATTTTAATATATATTATATATTATAGATTTTAAGATATTTAATAAATCAATTAATACATCAATAAATAAATTAATACATCAATCACTACAACGTGAATGTGTATAAGATAAGGGTGATCAAAAAGAAATGGGAAAAAATAAATTTTATTTCTTGACGGCTCCGTGGCGTAGTGGCTTAGCAATGAGTTGCTGCGCTGGGGGCCGCGGGCTCGAATCCCGCACGGAACAAGTATTTGTATAGCCTGCACATAATTTCTCCGGGTCTGGATGTTTGTCTTTATGCAATTTATGTTTCTAAACTGCCTCCACGATACAGGAGAAAATTCTAGTGTATAATATTTTTTTTTAAAAAAGACTATATACTATAGACTATAAAGCGAAAAGTTTTTTCATTGGTCATTGTTACTGCCGTTATATAGACACTATTGCGTGCATATAAAATTTAAATCAGGTGCGTGCATTCACTCTGGGAGCTCGTAGCAAACTGAACGTGCGCCCAACGTGTGGACGCGGCGGCCAATACTCTGCCACAACCCTTTGATCTTTTGTAAAAAACCGACACCAGACGGATCTCGCGCCAGCTTGTGGGCCATCGTTCCAATACGTACCAACGTAGCTTAAACACCCGCTCTACACGATGGCCATCGTTGTTGGCCAACACGTTCGCCAGTGTGTTGGCCAACGTGAAGAGCCGCCGTTACACGCATAACTTTCTCTAAGTTGATATATTTAACCTATAAGTGTGCGTAAAATGTAACAGTGTTGGAGATTTAGATTTGTGTGTGCCATAATGACACAAAATTTTATTGAGTAGGTGTCATCAAAAGTGACAGACTTTTTTGTTTGTAGCATTAGGCGCATTACTCGTCCTTTGGTTGAACGGTCTAAGCTTGTTTTATATTCCATTTCAATATATTACCCATACATAACGACTTGAAGTCGACGTTCTCAGATGGATTAAAACCAGTTCCCGTTACGACTGGCTTACTATGTAGCACTGTACTCCCACTGTGGCCCTTATAGATTATAGATGAACTATCGTAACAAACACCACTGCATTAGCCGAAGTGGTGCTTGGGGTAACCTGTGTTATATGATAAGATTAGTCCTAAATTAATTGTACCTCTCTGTTCTTTGTCTAATTCAGAAATTGCGAGACGAGGCAGCTCAATTTCTTTTAGAAGAGGCGTTCTTAGATCTTGAAGTACATTTCGACGACCTGTTTACTCCGAAATGGCTATCATCTAGCATTCCAGTTGACACCATATGCGTCACGCTCGAAGACTATTTCCAAGATTACAACCATCTCAGAGAGAAAAACTTTGAGTATGTGATTAACGAAGCCCAGAACCTAGTGTATAAGAAATATATAACAGCAATGTTATCTAAAAAAATGACATTCAAGAATGTAGAGGAAGCCCAACAAGCGGCTAATAAGATCGTGAAAGAAGCTAATCAAATAAGGGCATTTTTTAGAAGAATTGCCCCCGAAGGCGTTAACGTGGATTGGCCGTTTGAAGTAATAAAAATGCTGGCGGAGGTAAGACGGAATTGCAATAAGAATAGTTTATTAGTTAATTAAATATTTTTTAAATAGTTTATGGTGTTGACACATTAGTTGCGTTTACAAAAATTGTACATACAAAATTGAAGTGTCTGTTTGTAATGTCAAAATAACAGCTATTTACTAAATGGATACGAAAGTAAACACGGTACTTAAAACAAAAAAAACAATTTAAAAAAAATCGCTCTATCCGTCTGTTTTTTTCCGGCGAATCTCCGAAATGGCTGGACCGATTTTGACGGGATTTATACTGCCGGGTAGCTGATGTTATAGGGAGTAAATAAGGCCACTTTTGTTTTAGAAAAAGGATTAGGGTCCCGCACAAAAAAATTAAAACCCATGAAAGCCAATCGTAATACATTCCTATTTATAGTGTACGTACAAATACTTGTTTCATACGGATATGGAGCTCGCGACCCGCAGCTCCCAGTAGTTTATACAGGATTATTTTTCAAAGAGTAGCCAAATTTTAAACTTAAGTTCAAATAATATGTAAATAATAATATACCGTTATTGCAGTTTTTGAAAATACGAGTTAATAAGGCTTCTACTTTTGTTTGAAACTATCCCAAACTGAATGTGATTTATGGGCAACATCTCTGTGTGCGATTCAATTCACAACGTTATTGCCGACCGATTGACCCTTACGAATGTATGCGTGCGTAATAAAATAGGAGACGTTAGGCATTTATGAATGACAATCAGTTAAAATAATGTATTAGCACGTAATTGAATTTAAAAGATAAAAACGATATAATGTTTGACATTTTTTTAATTAATTTTTCTTCACCATTTACCTATCTTACTTATTCTGAACCTTCTCTGCAAATTTGGTCGGTTATTAGAAAATAACCCTGTTCATCATTATCAGTTATGAACATAATAGTAGTGTTATAAACCTTAGTAGTGAAATGATGTTATTGCTTCGAATTCTATACAATGATCTTTGAAACAGGTGCTCAGGTGTCAGGACATCGAGATGCTGTCGCTGGACCTGCACGGCGTACTGGACAAGTGTCCCGACGTGTCGGAGGAGCAGCTGACGCGGCTGCTGGCGCTGCGCGGCGACGTGCCGCGCGCGCACGTGCGCGACACCGTGGCGCACGTGCTCGCCACGCGCCAGCCGCCCCGCGCCCCCTCGCACCCCTCGCTCTTCAAACAGATCACGTTCAGTGACCGCCTGCTGTCTCATTTCGCTCTGTAACCGCCTCGCGCCTCCTCACACCCCTTGCTTTTCAAACAGATCACGTTCAGTGACCGCCTGCTGTCTCATTTCGCTCTGTAGTCGCCCACGCCCCTCACACCACTCGCACTGGAAGATAATTTAAGAGGATACGTCGTCGTCATCACATTATCACGGTCTCTTATTCACAAACTAATGAAGTACTAGTGTACTGTGATGTGTATTTACTTTCTTTGAGAAATGTAACGTTGATCCTGTGGTGGCGGTGTAAGATTAACCACTATCCCATGTCGCATCTGCTTCTTGAGTCTTTATTGATGATAGATGTAGATGTCTATGGGTCACAGTAACCACTTACCATCAGGTGGACTGTGTGCTCGTTTGTCACCCTATCCTATAAAAAAAAATGTCGCCCTGTGGGTGTCGTAAGAGCCGATAGAGGGAAATGAACCAGGAAGTGGGAACCAGCATCTTCCTAACAACAACTAAAAATAAAAAACTGCAGTTGCCAACGCGCCTGCCAAGTATGACGACTATAGCAAATATCCCCTATGAAGCATTTATTGAGGAGTTCTATATTCAGTAGTGGACTTTTGGTAGGTTGTAACGGTAACGGTAAGAAATGAAACAAAGTTAGCCGGTTTACTGTTTTTTATTGACCAGATTTAATCAAAATTGGAGTCTGTGTATAATTTTATTAAATAACCCAAATATAATAAAGTAATCTTTTTTTTTAAAGAAAGTATATAAATAAGCATAATAATTTTCTTTTAATGCATGTAAATATCTAATAAATGTATTTAAATACTTATGCCTATTCTTCCCTCAACTAAAACAAAAACAAAATTATCTGGAAGTTGAATTAAAATGTATTTTAGGACCATTTTTTTTTTAAATTTAAAGCTCAATAATGGGATGAATAGAATTTAGAAATCAGTAAATTCTATCAGCTATGCTATATGCTTCTCCTGATCTTAGGAAACCTCCGGAAATTTCTTCAGTAATATCAAATAACGAAAACCATATGACTTCAGCACGTCACTGGAAATTAAACATAAAATTACAGCTTTAATACAGAACACTACTGAGCACAGGTCAGATCATTTCTCAGAGCCTTACAGAGCAGTATTTGCCTTGCAATTTCTCAGCACTGGTAGAGAATGCAAAAAGGCATTTATTTGAAGGTGTTTTGTTGTTTTAGCCACCATGCCACACAAATCAGATATCCAATGACATGGAGTATAATTAATAGCGAAACTGGTGAGATCAACTCTCGCAATTCAAACTACCAGTTAAGTGTTATCAACAAATTAACTGAATCATATCAGGACGATGCAATGGTTTTTGAGAAATATTTTACTGATATTCCGATCTATCACTAAGTCACTGAATTCTTCTCCTGCCGTCGCCGAATCTTTAAATATTTTAAAACTATTGATATTAAGAAAACTGCCGATCTATGGGGGATTTCCGTTAAAGTTATTGCGTCTATAATAGATACAATCGCGCCTCATCTAGCTATTATTTTTAATACAAGTATCGAATCTGGTGTGTTTCCTGATTTAATGAAGCATAGTAAAGTAATACCTTTGTTTAAATCTGGTAGTACATTAGAGCCCGCCAATTTCAGACCTATTTCTGTACTATCAACACTTAGTAAGATTTTAGATAAAATTACTCTTGATCAAATGTTAAATTTCTTTAATATAAATAATTTACTTCATAAAAATCAATTAGGTTTCACAAGGGGTCGCGCGACCACTGATGCCGGTGTGGAGCTGATTAAATATATCTTTAATGCATGGCAGAATTCACAGGATGCTTTGGGTATATTCTGTGACCTATCCAAGGCCTTCGATTGTGTTCACCGTGAAACATTAATCAGGAAACTTCGACACTACAGTGTAACAAGTGATACTCTTAAATTAATTATTTCATATTTAAGTAATAGAACGCAAAAAGTTGTCATTAACAGTATTAGCTCTTCCGGCTCGATGGTACAAATGCGCGTGCCTCAAGGCTCAATTTTCGGCCCCTTTCTGTTTCTTGTATACATTAATGACTTACCTTACATAGTAGGGGATAACCATGATATAGTACTATTTGCTGATGACACTTCTTTAATTTTAAAATAAGACGACAGTTACTAAAATATGTCGAAGTAAATAATGCTATATCTAAATTAGTAAATTGGTTCAATGTTAATAATTTGCATTTAAATAGCACTAAAACGAAATGTATGAAATTTATGACTAGAAATGTCAAACAAATACTAATGTAATTTTAAATTTATTTTTTTATAGGAGAGGGGGCAAACGAGCATGCGGCTCACCTGATGGTAAGTGACGACCACCGCCCATGAACAACTGCAACACCAGGGAGGGAATTGCAGATGCATTGCCAGCCTTTTAAAAAGGAGTACGCTCTTTTCTTGAAGGTCCATAAGACGTATCGGTCCGGAAAAATCGCTGATGGTAATCGATTCCACAGGAAGTCGTGCGAGGAGGAAAACATCTTCTAAATCGCACAGTGGTGGACCGCCAATCATCCAGATGGTGTGGATGGTATAGGGAGTTCTGCCGCGATGTGCGTTCGTAAATGTGGCGGCTGGGATTAATCCGAACAATTCCTCAGAGCACTCTCCGTGTAAGAAAATGCAAAGGGATGCAACATCTCTTCGCATTGCCAATAAATCGAGCCGATCGGAAAAGACTCGGTCGTCGACGATTCGAGCTACTCTGCGCTGGATGCGGTCAAGTGGTACCAGCTGTACTGGGGAGCCCCTGCCCAGAGATGGGAACAGTATTCCATGTGAGGCCGAACCTGCGCCTTGTAAAGTTGCAGGCGGTGTGCCGGCATGAAATACTGTCCCGCTCTGCTGAACACGCCAAGCTTTTTAGAGGCCAATTTGGCCTTCTCTTCCAAGTGACCACGAAACTGCACGTCACTCGATATGTTGACTCCGAAGATTCCGATACTGGCTGAGGCAAGAAGGGGAGTGCCTTGAAACTGAGGAGATACGACAAAGGGGTTTTTTTTAGCGGTAAACGCGCAAACTTGTGTCTTCTGAGGATTAAACTGGACTAGATTTAGTCGCCCCCAATCCGAGACTTCAGACACAAGTTTGTTCCGGTACTCGGCGACGTTTTCCCGAGAAATATTGGCACGACCGGTGTATAGAGCATCACCAGTGCTGTCATCCGCATAGCAATGACTGTTACCAGTTAGCAACATATCATTGATATGCAGAAGAAACAGCGTTGATGATAGCACACAGCCTTGTGGAACACCAGCGTTAATAGGCTTGTAGTCGGAGCATGCACCGTCTACAACGACCTTGATGCTCCGATCTGCAAGGAAGCTGGTAATCCAATCGCACAATTTCTCGGGAAGCCCATAGGAAGGGAGCTTCGAAAGAAGCGCTTTGTGCCAAACCCGATCGAAGACCTTCGCAATGTCGAAACTAACGGCCAACGCCTCCCCCTTGGACTCTACTGCCTCCGCCCATCTATGGGTCAGGTAGACCAGAAGATCACCAGCTGATCGACCCCGACGAAAACCGTATTGGCGGTCACTAATCAGCTGGTGATCCTCAAGGTACCGCATGAGCTGGCAGTTAATAATGGATTCCATTATTTTGGAGAACAAGGAGGTGATCGCGATAGGCCTATAGTTGGACGGGTCTGAGCGGTCGCCTTTTTTAGGGATCGGGTGGACAAAAGCTGTCTTCCATGAATTCGGGACTACGCCTTGGGAGTAGGAGTACCGGAAAAGACGCGTTAGGACCGGTGCCAACTCCGGAGCACACGTCCTCAGCACAATTGGGGGGATTCCGTCAGGCCCACTCGACTTCTGGATGTCCAGGGAGAGGAGTGTTTTGCGAACCGAGCGCTGTGAGAACAGCATATCCGGCATGGAGCACTCACACCGCGGGATGGTCGGCGGTGTTTTCTGCCCCGTCATCAAGAGTCGAGTTGGACGCAAAAAGAGAGCCTAAAAGGTCGGCTTTGTCTTTAGCGGCTTGTACCAGTGAGTCGTCCTCCCTGTGCAGAGATGGTAGTAATGGCTTACAGAAATTCCCTTGGACAGCCTTGGCGAGAGACCAGAATGCACGGGTTCCCGAAGGAAGGCGAACTAGTTTCTCGCCAATTCTGCCTATGTGCTCTGACTTTGCCTTGGCAATTCCCTGTAGCACCACATCAATGACAGAGTCAGCAACAGCGCTGGGATCATCCGGCGAGAAGCAAACCCGCCCCCATGGGTAGGATGCAAAGAAAGACCGCATTCCGTCCCAATCCGCCGACCTGTAATGCCAAACACGGCGGCAACCTGCAGAACGCAACCGCAAGGAGAGCGTGAGTGGCACCACACTCCGGATCAGACAATGGTCCGAAGAGCCGAGAGGGGCATCGACGGAAACCTGATATCCGTCTGGATGAGAGGTCAGCAGAAGGTCCAACAGGGAAGGTGTATGATCCTCCACATCTGAAATCCGCGTAGGCGAAGTAACCAGTTGTGTCAGACCATTGCCAAAGCAAAGTCATAAACAGATCTCCCCGCATGATCGGTTAAACGTGAACCGAGCCATTCGGCGTGGTGGGCGTTAAAATCGCCAAGGATCACGATCTCTGCGGATGGTACCTGTTGTAGCAAGGAATCTGTAGCCATTTGGACGTGGTCGATGAGTCGGTCTGATTCGGCATTACCGCTATGGGACCTATAGAGGCACCCGTAGACGCGCGGATGGTCGTCGCTGTCTACGCGTAGTCAAAGGATGGACAGATCCGAACCTTCAAGACTGCCGAGGCGTCGAGAACAGATGTCCTCTCTGACATACATGCAAACTCCAGCCTGAGGCACAAAGGAGTGCTCCAATTTGTACCCCGGGTAGGAGAGATACGAAATATCATCAGCCGGAGAGGAAACCTGCGTCTCGGTCAGAAAGAGCAAGGCCGGCTTCGCCGTCTCGAGATGGTAGTGGACGGCGTTTAGGTTGGAGTGAAGTCCCCTGATGTTGCAGA